CATATTTCTATAGTATCTTCCTTTATTTTATTATCATTATTATTTTTGGTATGTGCCCCTAGTGGTAACCGAACCTGGGACTCTCTGCTCTGCAGGCTGGTGCTCCAACCACTGAGCCAAACCAGCCAGGGCTGTTTTTTTTTGTTGTTGTTTTGTTTTGTTTTGATAGTATGTTCCTTTAAAGTAGAGCTCCTCCTCAGAGGACTTGTGGGCTGCATCTTGGTTTTAGGGCCATTGTGAACAAAACGTTTGAAACAAAGTAATAAATTCCCTGCTCAAAAGCTCTTCTAAACCAGAAGGCAGCAGCCGGCCTCTGAAGAGACCTTCCTTCAGCCCGCTTTGCATTATCTGCTCTTCCAGCTGCCACCCCCATGGTGACAGTAGTTCCCGACATCTGCAGTGACAAGTGCTGATATCAAGCATGTGCTGAGTTACACGCAAATTCAGTTTTGCTGATAGTGTGTCCGTGATCAAATCATCATCTCGTAATGCAGGAGCTAGCCATACCCATCACACATTAAAATAGTTTATTTCTGTTTCCAGTCGGTAATATTCTTAAAACATATATAACATCAGCTTTAGTGCCTGTTCACAATACAAAACAAAAACAACATAAAAAAGACACCATTTATTTGCCAAATAAGTTATTTGTTCCTAAGAGTATCAAAAGTGCAAAATATTCACTTTCTTTTCGGATCTGACTCGAAAGTATAATTATTCTCCTTGACAAACTGAACAGAGTCAGCAGCTGCCACACTGCGTTTGTTTTCAAGGGACAATGGCAGGTATTTGGATATGAGCAACATTTCATTTGGTAAAATGTTTTGCATTAGTTTTTAAAGAATTTTCCCTAAAAAAAGTTTGTTTGCTTCCAATCCTATTTCCCAAACAAAGCAAATCACTTCCCACGCGTTTAGATGCCATTTCTCTTTATAGCAGGAAAACATTTAGGTACTGAAAGAGGAGAAAATCAACCTATTATTTGAAAGTCACTACCAGGTTCTCATGGTCAGTAAGCGATGGCAGCGAGACCACGGAGCCCGTGGAAGTCAGGGCGGTCTGCTCGGTGAAATCGATTAGCTGGGGCTGGCGACCTCTGTTAGACAAATCGTGCCACTGACACCTTGGCAATAAAAAAATATTTTTTTAATGGGCGTGTATTCTACAAAGACTTTTAAGACCAGTTTTCATCTCCATCTGCTACACATGATGCATAGTTTCTATCAACCAGAAAAACCTACCCTCTAAAATCATCAATGTTGTCTTTTTAAGGTACATTTTCGAAGACTAGAAAGTTAAAACCAAAGCTGGTGTGATTCCACACACCAGGAAGATAAATGGTGGCATAGGCTGAGCATGACAATAGCTCGTACATTTGACACAAAAGTAAACAAATCAATGGAAACAACATTCAGGAGGAAAGGCTTGTGAGGCCAAGGGTCAGGTTCATTTTAAAATAAGAGCTCCTGCCCTGGCCGGTTTGGCTCAGCGGTTGGAGCATTGGCCCATGGACCAGAGAGTCCCGGGTTCGGTTCCCACTAAGGGCACATACCTCGGTTGCAGTTTGTCCCCGGCCCCAGTTGGGGTCATGTGGGTGGCAACCACTCGATGTGTCTCTCTCACATCGATGCTTCTCTCTCTCTCTTCCTCCCCCTCTAGCTGCAAAAATGTGCTCAGGTGATGATTAAAAAAAAAAAGATAAAATAAGAGCTCCCGCCCAGCTGGTGTGGCTCAGCAGTTGAGCATCATCCCATGGACTGAGAGGTCCTGGTTTGATTCCCGGTTAGGGAACATGCCCAGTTTGGGGGATCGATCCCCAGTAGGGGGTGTGTGGGAGGCAGCCAATCGATGTATCTCTCTCACATGGATGTTTCTAGCTCTCCCTTCCTCTCTCTCTAAAAAATCAATAAAAACATATTTAAAAAAATAAAATAAGAGCTCCCCAGTGTCCTCTTAGCAGACATATCTGTCCTAAAGAGATCTGTAGAAGATTTTTTGGACTGAAGTATTTGCCAGGAATGTTTTAATCCTATTATCACTTTCCTTTCTTAGTACAAATGGAAGGTACAGCTGTCTAAAGATGCTTTTAATTTTAATGATAAAATTTTTTTTTTATCCTCATCTGAGGACATTTTTCCATTTTTTTTGTTCAGATAGAGTGGGAGGGAGAGAGAGGAAGAGAGAGAGAGAAACATTGATGTGAAAGGGACACATCGAGTGGCTGCCACCCGCACAACCCAACCAGGGCTGGGGACAAACTACAACCGAGGTACATGCCCTTAGTGGGAACTGAACCCGGGTCTCTCTGGGCTGCAGGCCAATGCTCCAACCGCTGAGCAAAACTGTCCAGGGCTTAATGATACAATTTTTGTTTGTTATTTTGTTAATCCTTACCCGAGGATACTTTCCCATTGATTTTTAGATAGAGTGGAAGGGAGGGAGGGAGGGAGGGAGAGAAAGACATTGGATTGGTTGCCTCTCACATGACCCCAACCAGGGTCGGGGATTAATTCTGCAACCCAGGTACATGCCCTTGACCGGGAATTGAACCCAAGACCCTCTGGTTCGACACTCTAACCACTGAGCCAAACAGGCCAGGGTGATAAAAAATTTTTTTTTATCCTCACTCAAGAACATTTTTCCATTTTTTGTTCAAATAGAGTGGGAAGGAGGAAGAGAGAGAGAGAGAGAGAGAGAGAGAGAAAGAGAGAGAGAGAGAGAAACATTGACGTGAAAGGGACATATCAAGTGGTTACCACCCGCACAACCCAACCAGGGCTGGGGACAAACTGCAACTGAGTTACATGCCCTTAGCAGGAACCGAACCCGGGTCTCTCTGTACCGCAGGCTGACGCTCTAACCACTGAGCAAAACCGGCCAGGGTGATAAAATTTTTTTAAATGAACAAATCTGGGGAGGTTTTTACCTTTCAGAAATTATGGTCAGGAATCCCATTAGTACCAGAAATTAAAAATAAAAACCTACCATGAAACCAAAATATATTCATTTAGCAACCTGGCCATAAAAGACCCAGAATATAATTTTGAGAACAGGTGTATCAAGAAGTCAAATGAGCCCTGGCCAGTTGCTCAGTGGTTAGGGCATCGGCCTACGGACAAGGGAGTCCCGGGTTTGGTTCCCACTAAAGGCACGTACCTCGGTTGCAGTTTGTCCCTGGCACTGGTTAGGGTCGTGTGGGTGGCGATCACTCGATGTGTCTCTCTCACGTTGATGTTTCTCTCTCTCTCTTCCTCCCTCTCTCCCTCCTGCTCTACCTGAAGATAAATGCAAAAATGTCCTCAGGTGACGATAAAAAAAAAGAAGAAGCTAAATGAGCCCTGGCCGGTTTGGCTCAGCGTTTAGAGCATCAGCCCTTGGACCAATGAGTCGCGGGTTCAATTCCGGTTAAGGGCATGTACCTAAGTTGTGGTTTGTCACTGGGTCTGGTTGGGGTCGCGTGGGAGGCAACCAGTCGGTGTGGCTCTATCACATCGATGTTTCTCTCTCTCTCTCTCCCCCTCCCTCCCACGCTGTCTGATAATAAGTAGAAAAATATCCTCAGGTGAGGAATAAAAAAAAAGAAGCGAAATGAATTCCATGATCACTTCTACCTGGTCAGGGGCCATGAGCTATGGCAATCAGAGTAAGCGTCCACTTTCAGAGGACCGTGTGGAAAAATGAAGCCTGGCCATGATTTCTTTCTTTTCTTTTTTTTTTTATAAAGCTATAGAGTCCATGAAAACTATAGAAATTCCTGGGCTCAAATACTTGACTACTTGTCACTGTAGCTCAATATTTAAGTTATTCAGGATCCAAATGGTTTAATTTAAAGCAGTTATGATTAAAAAGAATAACTAAGTTATTTTGTCCCGTCACTGACTTTGACCTTTCACTTCACAAACCGCCTCTGAAGGGCACTTTGCTCCGACACTGGGACGGCCACCCCGAGGCTGCCGAAGCTCCGCCGGCGCCTGGCCCTGCAACGCGAAGGGGAGCTGTCTAGGGCTGGCGGCTCCAGCGCGGGCCTGACCCTGCTACTGGGGAAGCGGCTGGAAGTTAGGAGTGAAATGATGAAGACAAAACATCAAAATATGGGCCAGAAGCTCAAAGCAAGCCTTCTGCAAAACAGGAGTCCAGAACAAGTCTTGGTTCACATGTCGCAAACGAGGACTTAAGGTACAGCACTTCTGGGGTAACGGTGTTCAAAACACAATTGCTGAGAAACGCCAGGTCCTTGATACCAAGGCGTGTCTGTGCTGCACCAAGGGGACAGCACAGGTGGGAATGACGTGTCTTCAGTGTAACATCTAGTGGCTGACAGCAGCTTATCTCTATGTTCAGAGAACAAGGTTAAAGTTATGGCTCCTAATATCCATACCCTAAGACTGACAGGCAGAAAGGCATCGAAAACACACACGTACATGGCTCAAGTCGTTACAGTACTTCTTGCCGTGCGGATCCCTCGGCTCCATTTCGCGCTGGGGTGGCGGCTGATGGGAGGCTCACAGCGGGGTCACTCCAGTCACTGCCCAGCTTCCCTTCTCTTGCCTGGGGTTCACAGGCAGAACCCCTACTCATCCCTACACTTTTAAAACCATGGCTGACTAACTGCGGTAGGAAGATACCCCCAAAATATACTTTAGCCACTTACTACCAGAAAAACCGCTCAAGGTAAGACTGCTCGGATCCAGGCCTCTTTCCAGACGCGGGGCCTAGAAGCGCCGTGGGCTGTCCCCGCCACGGCGGAAGCACAGGGGCGGGAGGGCGGAGGGGAGGCAGGTGAGCGACCTGACAGGCGACCGGCACACCCGGCTGCCGAGGTCGCGACCTGACCGCTGCAGAGCGAGCACCTGCTTCTCCCACAGCAGACACAGCCCAGGGAGGGGCTGCGACGTGCGACAGGACCACAGGGAAGAGGGAACGAGCAGCCTGTTTTCAATAGTGCGGCATTCAGATGAGAAAAGAAATCCCAATAGAAAATATTTTGATCTAGGGAATTCAACTTGTGGTATTTTTCACTCCTAGGTTAGAACAGGACAAAGGAAAGATTCTTCTAGCCACTGTTCTAGAAGAATAATCTAAAATCTCTACTCCGTCCACTGTGACAGTCTGAGTCCTAACACCTGTTCGCAGGGCCCTGTGGGGTCTGAGGAGCTGCCGTCCCTTCCCGAGTCCTCTCAGTCTAGTTCAGGCCAGGACGGGATGTAGAACCTCTGCAAGGAGCCCTCCAGCAGGCGTTCCATCCACAGGGACAGCCTGCTCAGCTTTCCTTTGATGGGCCTGGGCCCGAGGCCACTGGCTTTCCCTCGAGACTCCCCCGGATGCAGGGAGGAGTCCAGCTCCCCGCACGCCCCCATTGCCTCCTCCTCTTCGACTGTCTTTTGGGGCTTGAAGAGGCAGAAGTACTTCTTGTGGCCATTCAGAGCCAGTACATAACCTGTGTAGTCGCGTTCCATGAAGTGCTTGTCGTACTGGTTGGGGATCGGGGCTGCGTCTTGAGCAAATTCTAACAAGTATTCGAGCCACTCTCGGTGTTTGTCCAGACTCAGGAAGGAGAAGTGTAGGCAGCTGCTCCTGCAGGGGAGAGGGCGCGGGGTGAGGGCGGCTCCCGACACACCGGCTGCGGGGAGCAGACGCCTGTCACACTTCACACCAGAGTGGGCGTCAGGTCAGGTGCGCCAGAGCACAGAGAGCACGGGATCCTGCGGGAGCTGCGGGCTTCGCCAGCCACCAGCCGCCACACTCATCCGATCCCGCCCCGCGCGGAGTGCCCCCCGCCGCCCTCAGCGTCCGGCTTCAGGAAAGCACACACGTGCTACAGAATAGTCAGTTTCCCGAAAGGGCAGAGGGAAGAGGAGCCGAGAGGACGTGAAGTCAAGGGGCAAAGACGGTCCCCTCACGAGGGCTTAGTTCTGGGCTGGAAAGCTCCCAGCCAACTCGCACTGAACAAATAAAGCTCCTAGCGGTCAGAGGAGTGGACGTCGTTTTCCTCCTGCCCCCCCAGCCGTGCTGCCCCCCGCCTCTGCCCGCTTACCCGGTGAACGTGTAGACCTCCAGGGCAAACTTCTGCAGGAGGCTGGTCTTGGTGGAGTTGGACAGGATGAGGACCACGTTCATGTGGCCTGGCCTCAGGCGCACCAAGTTGCTGGTGTACGTTACGTCCGTGAGCTCGGTCACCTCCACAAAGCCCTTCTTAGGGACCTTGCTGTGAGAAGCAGAGAGAAGTTAAGATGTTACCAGGGGAGGGGAATGCCCCTACTTTGAAAAGGAACAAGAGGAAGAAAACGTTGTTCTAACCACACTAGAGAAACATTTGAACTTCTCAAGCCTGAAACACTGGGAGGATGGGGTGGTCCCTATTCGGCAGTCCTGGGCCTACAAAGAGCCTCTCAGACGCTGCCCCTTGGGGTGCAGAGCAACTTTAGGACAGGGTAAAGGCCGCTGAAAGCTACGGAGACGCGCCATCCTCTGCTTCTGGCTCACCTAGCACCTCTCACTGTTAGAGCTGAGACTGAGAAACCGAGGACACTGAGCGAAGGAGGCCCAGTGTCTGCGTGTGGACAGGGTCTCAGAAAGCAGGAGTCAGCGGTAACTTTCTCTGTCCCCACGCCTCACACAGCGGGGGTGAACCCGGGTTCCATTTACTCATATATCCAAACTCTGCCTCATGGCATCACACGGTCTACGAGGCTGCAGCTGGGGGGGGTGGGCTTGGTGTTTGGGTAGAGAAACCTGCTGTTCTCTTTGGCGAAGCTGGGCTCGGTCTTCCTGGCCTTCTCCTGGGCTTCCTCTTTATCTGGAGGGCTTGACTCTCGCTCATCGTTCGAGTCACTAAAATGAGGAAAACGAGTTTACAGAACGAGGACAAACCTCCAGGAGGCTTGGGCTCTGCCTGTACAAGGTGCAGAGAAGCCCGGAGGACTCACCTGAACGCCTGAACGATGACGGTGCCGAAGAGGATGAAGAGGGCGGAGAAGACCAGGGACAGGAGGGGCATCATCTCCCGCCTGAAAGGAAGTTAACGAGCTTACCAACCGCTCCGCTCCGCGTGGCTGCTGTGACATATCAATGGAAGACTTGAGGTCTCCTCTCTGGCTCAAAGGAACAAACCCCAAAACAACCCCAAACCAAAACGCTTTCATATCAATAAACACTTTCTAACTCCACACGAATAGAGGTTTTTGGTAATGGAGGAAAAAGCAGAGGTTTTCTCCTGTTATAATTCACAGATCATTTATTTAAAAAGTGTGATTTTGTGTCTCAGTATTACTGGCTGTGTTGAATATATCCTGCAGAAGGAAACAGTAAGAGGGGCAATAAAGGAATTAAGTTGTGAGCCTGAATGGGGGGGATAAATGGAGACCTGACTTGGGTGATAAACACACATTGCAGTGTATAGACGATGTGTTGTAGAACTCCGCACCTGAAACCTGTATAATTTTGTTAACCAGTGTCACCCCAATAAATTCAATAAAAAAATTTTTAAAAAAAGAAGCTGTGAGCCTGGAAGAACATGCTGATGCCAAGGATAGTTAAATGTTATCAGGGGCCCAGCTGGTGTGGCTCAGTGGTTGAGTGCTGACCTGTGCACCAAGAGACCACTGGTTTGATTCCCGGTCAGGGCACATGCCCCGGCTGTGGGCCAGATCCCCAGTGGGGGGCATGCGAGAGGCAGCCAATCAATGTTCTCTCTCATCGATGTTTCTATCTCTCTTCCTCTCCCTTCCTTTCTCTCTAAAACCAATAAAGAAAAAAATATTTTAAAAAAAGAGCTGTGCTGGGTGGGGGATTGTGAACATGAATGAGATGTACTTCTGTCCTTCAGGAACCGCAGTCTTCCTGGGTAGGAGGGGGTATCCCCCTTCTCTGATTAATTTATTGGTTGGCTGCTACATCTACACACTGGACTCCATGTGTGTCGGGCCCTGGGCTGGGCACTGGAGGTGCCCCGCTGAGGAGGACCAGTCCCAGGCTCTGTTGTCTAAATGGGCAGTCATTGGAAAACAGTCAATCAGCAAAAATAGAATAAAGTGAAATTATGGAAAGAAAGGAAAAAGAGAATAGTGTTGAAAATGTTTAAAGAGTCTTCCACCTGCCTATGTTGAATATACACTCAAATCAGAGGAGGACAGACTCATTTCAAAGAGAAGCAGCGGTCCTGCTATTAATGGAGCAAAAGAAACTCAATCTCCCAACGTTCCTACCAGTTGCTGTGAAACATGCTGTCCCAGAAGTCTGAGATGTGGTCAGACGCAGAGTAAAGCCACCGAAGGAGGAACATCTATGGAGAGAATGAACAACAGTCAGGACCGAGCCCCTGAGCCCCGGCGGGAGAACTCCTCGCACCCCAGTACAGTGCTGCTGTGGAACCTCTGCTCGTCCTGGGAGCTCCCCAGCCCTGCCCGGCACCCACTCTCCTGGCCACGTGCTTACAGGGGCAAGTTCATCGATCAAGTCGGGCAGCACAGCTTCTGAGGACAGAAGAGCCGAGTCTTTCCGCAGCTGGTCGAGATAACCCAAAAGGATGAATTTGTCACTCTCGCTCCCTGTCCAGGGATCCTCCAGGGTTTTATACACCACCCTGCCTGCCATATTGCGCCTTTCTAAGATAGACACCTGGGAGAAGAAAGAGAAAAAACAGCAGAATTCTCAAAAGAATGATAAATTGCTGCTGTTGGTTCCTCCTCAGAGAGGATGGGACAAAGGGTCTAGAGAAGTCAGCAACAAACTCAACACAAATATGGGTGGGTATAAAACATATGCAAGACATTTACATTTTTCTGACAAAAGAAATTATAGTGACTTTTCATGATGACTTTCCGAAGCTTGTTAAAAATTACAGCTCTTTCTTTTCAATAAGCTTTGTTCGACAACCTGACTTTATAATAAAGGGACCCTTTGCGTTTTAGAGATCTTCCATGATTACAGAACGAGGAGGAGAATTTCATGCTCCTTCAGACAGTGATGACTAAGGAGGAGAGAGGAAGGAGATGAATTAGGATGCCTTAAGTGCAGGAGAGGACATTTTGACATGTTATCGGTAGCCTGAGGGAGACTTTGCAAAGCAGAGACTGCAAGACTAGACGTGTCATGAGCGAAACCGGTGAAAAAAACCGATGCTCTTCAACCTTTACTCATAGGAAAGGTGCTCTCTGTGAAGGCTCAAGTCTGGAAGTCTGGGAGGTGAGATCACCAGGGTGAGAGGCTGTTTTAAGAGTAGGCTCTGAAACAGGCTCAGAGATTTCTGGGTGTCCTGGAATTTGTACTCCAAGCTCCCAAGGCAAAAGGAAACAGAATCAAGTGCCAGTGCTCGAGGAGCTGGGGGACGGGGCGGAGCTGGGGGGTCGGGGGCGGAGCTGGGGGGTCGGGGTCGGGGCTGGGGGGCCGGGGGCGGAGCTGGGGGGCCGGGGGCGGAGCTGGGGGTCAGGGGCGGAGCTGGGGGGCCGGGGGCGGAGCTGGGAGGTCGGGGCGGAGCTGGGGGGTCGGGGCGGAGCTGGGGGGTCGGGGGTGGAAAGCATGACTCACCGCTGACTTCCCTCGGAATGTCTCGCTGTCCGGCAGGAAGGCGTTGGCAAACTCCGGCTGCCGGTTGCTGTAGACGTGCACGAACCGCACTGTGTCTTGTGTGTTTGCCAGGGCAAAGGACAGGAAGGCCTCGAAGGGTTGACTCAGTTTGGTGGCCTCGGCAGTCAGTAAAACCACACAGTACCTGCACCCACAACAGAAGAGGCTTTAACCACTCCCGCGGCCATGACTGGGAGCTGTGCCGGCAAGCGGGGGCGAAGGAGAGGATGAGCTCATCTTAGAGAAGTGAATACATCTTACTAGAGGAAACTGAGTTCAAAGTCTCTAATGAAAGATTTCCAAGTCATTCATGACCTGCTTCTTTTCTAGACCGTGATGTTTTCCCCAAACCAAGCTCTACCACAGTTAGGAAGTTCTCTTAAGGCAATGGTCACTGAAACCCCCGATGCAGGCCTTGCAGAAGCCACTGGTCTAGTTCTTCCGCCAAGGCCGGGCTGCTCAAACTTCTCCCAGCCCACAGGCCACCGAGCCTCATTCGGAAGGGCTCCCTTTGCAATGGTTCCAATGGAAAATTTAGCTTATCATTCATGCATCCACTCTCCCAAACATTTCCAGAGCACTTACTATGCTCTTGCCCTTGGGAGCTTATATTCGAGCCCTGCAAAGACTCACCCTGTATGGAATACTCTAGTAGGAATAGTAACTCTCAGACTCCAGGCTTCCTTAAAGTGACCCTCTCTCCCTGACGCCTGGCTAACGTCTACTCATTCTTCAGGACTCAGCTGAGTGTCACAGCTTAGGGAGACCTCTGACCCCTGGGCCAGGCTGGCACGTCCAGTGACTTGTTCCTAAGGGACCCTGAAGGAGTACGCCCACTACCATAACAGTCATCAGTCGGTATGTTACAGAGGATGAATTCTGACTGCCACAGGGTAGAAGCGTAACTGCCCTGCTGGAAGGTGCGGCACGGCCTGCCCACTGCAATGACAAGCAGAGCAAAGCCCGATCCTTACTTCCTCTGTCGGTGAGACCGCTTCACGGGGCAGAGTTCATGGAACAGCTTCTGGCTGGTGAGCCTGGCTGCTAATAGATACTTATTTTGGGTGATGAAGTCATCAATGACCTGTTTCTTCATACCTCGGGTCTGGAGGAAAACCAAGAGACAGCTGATTTTTATTCAGTTTTCTCACTGCAAATGAGCTTTACTTGTAAGCTCAATAACAACATGGCCGACCCTGGCTATGGCGATGTGGCAAAGCAGGGAGATCTGTCTGAGTAAATGAACCTGTGAGCTACTTCAACAAAGCAGGGCTGAAGGCAGTGCTGTCGGCATGTCAGGCCACACGAGAGTCAAGTGCTCTTTCCACCGGAGGACTCGGTAGCCTGCGTTATGCTGACAGACTTACAAAGCCCAACTTACAAAGCCCAATCATTTTACATTCTAGGCAAATTTACTTCTACTGAAGATCTGTAGCAACTTGAACAATTAAATAAACTTCAAAGTAACAAAGATACTAAGTATAAAAGGTGGACTACAGAACTGTATGACGACCACTTTGTTATTTGTAGTTTTCACACATTTTGAAGGACTGAAACTATATAGTGGGGGAAAAATTAGGTTTTTAGTTGTGAGTATTCGACACACACAGTTTATTCTTGTATTATATATTTTTCCATACGAACTGTAAACCGACTTTTGCCCACCCCGTATACTGCAGGTTCTCATACCACAATCTAGAAATCAATGTAAAATGTGAACCAGTCCGGCCGGTGTGACTCAGTGGTTGAGCGTCGACCCATGGACCAAGAGGTCGCGGGTTAGATTCCTAGTCGGGACACTTGCCCAGACTGTGGGCCTGATCCCCAGTGGGGGGCGTGCAGGAGGCGGCCAACTGGTGTTCTCTCTCATCAATGTTTCTATCTCTCTTTCCCTTTCACTTCCTCTCTCTCTAAACTCAATAAAAAGGAAAAAAAAAAAGTGAACCAAAATACATTCCCGTATGTTAAGAAACACACTCTGAATAATCTATTAATCTAAGAAAGAATATCAGATATTAGAAAATATTTTGAACTTGAATGATTAATGAAAGTACTATTTATCAAAACTTTGAGATACAGATAAAAGTAGTACTTAGAGGATAATGTTAAAATGCATATAATAGAAAAGATCATGAATTAGATATCCGTATCACAAAGTTAAAAAGAAACAGCAGAAATACAAACACAGAAAGAAAGAAATAACAAAGATAAAAATAGGTATCGATGCAACAAAAATTATAAAAAAAGAAGAAACACTATAACAAAATAATAAAAAATTATTAAAAAAAAAAAGAAGAAGAAGAAACACAGAATTAACAAAGCCAAACTCGTTCTTTGGGAGAGCTAATCAAATTGACAAATTCCTGGTAAAACCAATCATGGAAACAACAGAAGGCTCAAATAACCATTATTGAGGATGACAAAGAGGAATCACTACCTATGTAGCAAAGTTAAAAAGAAAGTTCATTATATTGGGAAATTTGGATGAACTAGAGAAATCCCTTCTAGTTTCTATCTCACAATCATACTTGTCTTCAAGACAACCTCTGGACTTTGGTGTCAAGCAGACTGCTTTCTGCACACTTCCATTATGTCACACAGAATATTACAAAACCAAGCTATGTACTCAAGGGTCAACTTATGTATTGATACAGTTAATACTTCTTACTGCTTCATCAAGGCTACGAAGTAAAACGAGGTTGGTTGGTTGGTTGGTGTTTACGGAAGGAGCTTGGGAAGAACATGGTCACGGGGGGCTGGGTTACACACTTGGTTAAGCACTGGCAGTTTCACCGACAACGGCTTTTGCACCATCAGTGCAAGAGTCAACACAAAGGACAAATTTTTATTGATTTCCAGAGAGAGAAGGGAGAGGGAGAGAAAAACATTGATGTGAGAGCAAAACATCGATTGGCTGCTCCTTGCACACCCCCAACAGGGATTGAGCCTGAAACCTAGGCATGTGCCCTGACCAGGAATGGAAACAGCAACCCTTCGGTGCACAGGACGACACTCACCCACTGAGCGACATTGGCCAGGGCATGAAGGCTCCCTGTAAGGGCCTTTGGAACCCAACACCCAGGGGTCTGTGAACCACATAGAGAAACTTGTACTCAGGACACTGGACACATATCATGTTCACGGCATCACTGCCCCTAAAGCACCACAATGTCCATCAACAGAATCTGAGTAAACAAATGACAATGTGGCTGTAAATACTATGTAGCAAATAAAAACAAATTAACTAGCCCGGCCGGTGTGGCTCAGTGGGTTGAGCATGGTCCCGTGGACTGAGAGGTCCCAGTTTGACTCCTCGTCAGGGCACATGCCCAGGTTGCGGCTCAACCCCCAGTAGGGGGCGTACGGGAGGCAGCTGGTTGATGTTTCTCCTTCACACTGTTGTTTCTATCTCTTTCTCCCCCTTCCTCCCTCTTTAAAAAAAGTAAATAAAAACATATTTATAAAACAAAAACAAATTAACTAGAGCCATGTGAAACAACAGGTGCTTCTAGCATTACACTAAGCCACTAACAGTTGTAGAACTTGGTTTATGTTAAGCATGAATTTTTTACATCCTTAAAAAGCAAACTGGTAAAGCATCCATTGCACCAGTAATTTTGTAGATGCATTTGATTTACATTTTTTCCTAGGGAAGAAAGAAATAACAATTCTCCACAGCAGAAGCTATTACTAGAAAGCAGTCTAGGCAATCTTCACAGATTAACCTGGATCGACAGGATCTTGTCCTCTCTCCCTCCACTGGCCCTTGTTTTCTTCCTGACTCTCTTAGCTCCTTCTCATCACCATCAGGCACCCCCTCTTTTATTGGCTAGTTTGTCCTTGGCCCTTTCTCTTACTTCACATGTGATGCCCGGGAGATCTCCCCGTATGCAGGACTTGGAACTAACCATTCAATGATCTACAAACCTCTATCTGCAGCTCACCCGCCTTTCCTGAGGTCTAGATCTCTGTACCCGAGTGCTGATGCACATCTCTCCTTGGGCTTCCTGTAGGCAGTTCCAATTCAATATGTCCATGACTGAATCCATTGCCTTCCTCCTAAACCTGCTCTTCTTTCCTTCCGATCCACCTTCCCCAACTGATTCTGTCACGTGCGTTGTCTTTCCCTCATTGCCCTAGTCCCAGGCGCTGTCTTCTGTGTTCACATGGCACCCAGAGTTTACCCTGCATCTAACTGAGATGTCTATTACGGTGGATGGAAATTCCTGTTAGGTCTCTCTCCTCTCCAACTGTGAGCTGCCTGAGGACAAAGGCTAACTCTGGATGCCAGAGTTGGCTGTGTATTTACTTACTACATAGCAGTACTACATTCATTACTAAATGAATGAAATAAAAGATTTTACAGAATTTCTTGGCCCTGGCCAGGTAGCTCAGTTGGTTAGAGCGTTGTCCTGATATGCCAAGGTTGCTGGTTCGATTTCTGGTCAGGGTACATAAAGAAGCAACCAATGAGTGCATAAATAAGTGGGACAACAAATGGATGTGTCCCCCCCTCCTTCCTCTTTCTCTCAAATCAATAAATAGAATTTCTCATTCTTTTCATTCTAGCCTTAAGAGAAAGCTAGTCAAAAGGTCCCTGTCGATTACAAAAAAAAAAAGACATTAAAAAATATAAAATACACCCTGGCTGATTTGGCTCAGTGGTTAGAGCGTCGGCCTGCGGTCCAGGGAGACCCAGGTTCGGTTGCCGCTAAGGGCACGTACCTCGGTTGCAGTTTGTCCCCGGCCCTGGTTGGTCGTATGGGTGGCAGCCACTTGGTGTGTCCCTTTCACATCAATGTTTCTCTCTCTCTCCCTCTCTCCCTCTCTCTCTCTCTCTCTTCCTCTCTCTCCCTCCCACTCTATCTGAACAAAAAATAGAAAAATGTCCTCAGGTGAGGATAAAAATATATATATATATATGTATGTATATATATATGTATATATATATATATATATATAAATAAAATACATGCTCATTATAGAGATTTTTTAAAATCCAAATATTAATATGTAATTCTGCCATCAAGAGATAGCTACTGCCCTGGCCAGTTTGGCTCAGCGGTTAGAGCATTGGCCTGCGGACCAGAGAGTCCCAGGTTTGGTTCCTGCTAAGGGCACGTACCTCAGTTGCAGTTTGTCCCCGGCCCCAGTTGAGGTCGTGTGGGTGGCAACCACTCAATGTGTCTCTCTCACATCAATGTTTCTCTCTCTCTCTTCCTCCCCCTCTTCCTCCTGCTCTAACTGAAGATAAATGCAAAAATATCCTCGGGTGAGGATAAAAAAACAAACAAACAAAAAAAGAGACAGCTACCGTTATCATGCATTTATTTATAACACACTCATGTTGTCAACCTGAGATGTGTTTACACTGCACATGCAATTCTGCATCTGGCCTGCTCTTTAACATTCTACTATGAGGATCATCCCCATCATTAAGTATTCTTGCCATTTTAAATGGCAATATAAAGTCCCTGTTTGAAATGTACCATTAGTATCCTACTGTTGGATATTACATGTCCCCCTCATTTTTGCTATTATGAGTGATATTTAACCTTTCTGTATGTGATTCTGAGTTCCTATGGCCCTAGAATAGATTCTGAAAAGGTAATCTCATCTCCCTCAGGTCTTTACTCAGATATGATCTTAATGAGGCCACCTTACCTTAAAAATGTGAACCTTCTCCCCTAATACTTCACATCCTTTCCCGCTTTATTTTCCTCCGTAGCCCTTATCACTAACGAACACAATCGAGTATGTTATGCTGACTGCCGCCGCCACTGGGACACTGGTTTTGTTCAGGGCTGGATCCCCTCATGCAAAGCAGTGTTGGTATATAACAGGTGCTCGGAGTACTCCTGAATCTAGGCAGCTGATTCATTATCACCTAATCGCTTTTCTGAAAAATGTGAAGCTTCCTCCAGCAGGGTGCAAAGAAGAGTGTCTGTTTCTTTCTACCCTCAATACTTCTGAGTATTTTCACTTTGAAAATCTCTAACAACTTGATGGGAGAGGAAAATGTTAAATTTGCTTTTCTCTGATTAGTAGTGAGACTCACTTTTTAAAAGTGTTTACCAGTCACTTGAATCTCTTTTCAGAATTTTGCTCATATTTTTAGCCCATTCTTGGCGGGGATGTTTTATAATCTAATTTTTGTGGTAAAATATACCCGATATACAATGTACCATTCTAACCCTTTTCAAGTGTATAATTCTGTGTGTTAAGTATCTTCACACTATCCTGCAACCACCACCACCGCCCACCTCCCGAACCTTTTCATCTTCCCAAGCTGACACTGTACCCATCAGACGCTAACTCCCCTGTCCTTCCTCCCCCAGCTCCCGACAACTCCATTCTACTTTCTGTCAAAAGATTGTTTTTTAGGCAAAACAGTACCAATCAGACGGAAAACAAGCTTGTTTTGAAACATTGTGCCTCTGAAGGAAGAAATGGAAACCAGTTTCTCCTCCTCCCCTACTGTGTTCAGTTCTGCTGGAGATCAAATGGGAGGGCACGCCTGAGACCAACGGGCTCTCACGTACCTGGATGACGTCAGCAGGCTTGTTCGTGTGCTCTTTAAAGATCAAGATGGTGGGAGCATAGACATTGACGTTGTACTGCCTCGTCATCTCTTCTGCCCCTCTCAAACCGACATACACGTATCCAAAGGACAAATAGTCTTTGTATGCAAAAGCAGTCAACTGTTAGGGCACAACAGAGAGGAAGACATGACATCAGCAGCACCGCATGGACATGACAAAGCAAGTGTGACTTGTTATATCAGCGGGCAGAGGTGAACACTGGCTTATTGCACAGCCTACGTGGGCTGTCACACCCTCGTCCACTTGTAGGAATCCTATGGTGTTCCATGCGTGAAAACTGCACCAACAAGGCTAAACACAACTAATTCTTTATTTTTCAGATGGAGCAAAACATCCACCTTACTGGGATGTGCACCAGGTGGGAGGCATGGAGTGTTTGAGGAATCACCTGTACCCTAATTACGTGACAGTGACCATCTCATGTCACAGTGGTACCCAGGGGTTCTGGAGTGTAGGAAAGGGTATCACTCAGAGGGCAGGTCTGGGGGCAGACAGGCTTCAGGGGAATCGATACTCCCCACACTGTGGGGAGAGCTCAGGCGGGTTATGCAGCCACTCCACGCTCCAGTATCTTGGTCCACAAAGCAGGGCGAAGGCCTACACCACTGGGTCCTTCTGAAGGTGCGGTGCTGCCACGCGTGCGCAGAGCACCAGGACAGCAGCAGCATCGGGAGGTGCTCAGTGCATGGTGCTTAATGCCAATTCTGGTCTTCAAACATTTCTCAGGGGTTAAGCTTTTATGACAAAGAGACCAATCAGGCTACAAGCCCTCTCCACCACCACAAGAGCAAGCATTACCCCGGCACGTGAGGTACCTTGTACAGCAGCGGAACAGCAGGCATTTGGTCAAACAGAAGGACGTGTGGTTTATTCTCCTGCTGCCAGCCAGAGAGGAATCTGACATAATTTTTATTTGTAACCTTCAATTGAAAAGAGAATGTTAGTTTCAATATTTAAGTTTCAACAACTGTATTATCATCTAGCCAGCAGACAAATAGAATCAAAGATGTGTAATATATTATTTTGTAAAAAATAAGAAATGCAGGCAACTAATCTTTCGTCTTCATTTGACTAAAACTATTAAAAAGAAAGAGATGGTGTTTAAACATTTTCATGTGTTCCAAATCTGAAATCATACTCTTTTCTAAGACAATTACTGACCATAAAATTTTAAAAAATTGAGCTTTCAAAGTTGGTTCTTGCTTAATTATAGACTGCAATTCTTAATTAACCTTAATCTATTAACCTTAATCTAATGAAGATAATGCAACAATCGCCCTTTTAAAATAGCTTAATAAAAATAAGTGGCCCAAGCCAGGGTAAAACTTGCATCGTTTACAGAGCATCGGGAGGAATACTCAAAAGGATTTCGCCATCTTGGTGAGACAAAATTAGCCCTAGACTAAATGATGCTCTGTCCTCAATTAAAGAAATTTAAAACAAGACCTGAAAAGACCACACTGTTTCCAAGTAATTTAACCACATCCCAGAACAAAGCTCAGGAATATTTATAGGAAAAAAAAGACATCCGAAATCACCACCCAACAAGATAAATGAACAGTGTCTAGCATCCAAAGAGTAGAAAGCCCTGGCTGGTGCAACTCAGTGGTTGAGCACTGTGCCATCCACCAAAAGATCACAGGTTTGATTCCCAGTCAGGGTACATGCCAGGGTTTTGGACTCAATCCTTGGAAGGGGGCATGCAGGAGGCACCGATCGATGTTTCTCTCTCCCTCTCCCCTCCTCTCTCTCTAAAATCAATAAAAACATATTTTAAATACGTTTTTTTAAAGTGCCTTTTTAGAGAGAGAGGAAGGGAGAGAGAAACATCGATGTGAGATACACCTGTCAGTTGCCTCCTGCATGTCCCCCACTGGGGATCGAGCCTGCAACCTGGGCATGTGTCCTGATCAGGAATCAAACCAGGACCTCTCAGTTCATGGGACAATGCTCAATCCACTGAGCCACACAGGCTGGGCAATAAAAATATCTTTTAAAACGAAACAAAACAAAAAGTAGAAGACCTGTAAAGGAAGGGGGCTGGGAACATTAATCAACTGAAACTAACCCCAAAATAAAACATGATAAAAATAAATGGACCGACCTCATCCATACATTACATAATTTTACTTACTGCCATCTGAATAGCTAGTTTTGTGTTTCCCTGTTTATGCCTTAAAATAAACCTACTGAGAAAGCAAAAGCATGAATAATTAAGTTTCTATCTAGAAAATGTTTAATAATAACTCAAAAAGTATTTTTCTACTCTGCTTCCAGAATGATCTATATAGAATCTCAATCTGATCATTTCTCCCCATTGCTCAATGGCTCCATCACCTGCAGGCCAAGGCCCAAGTTCCTTAAAGCTTCCTGTTACTGCTCTACTCTCGTCCTCTCCCACTCACTGATGATGACTTCACACAGAGCAGGCTTTTCCTGTCCCGGACCTCTGCCTGCCTGGAACTCATTCCCTAATTCTCTCTCTCACTCGGTAAACTCAGTCCAGGGGTCATTTCTACCAGGAAGCCTTTTCCAACTCTTTAGGACAGGCTCTTAACACACTGGATGGGAATAAGCACCCAAGGCTGTAAGCACCTTGAAAACTGTCCTCGACCCTTCCCAGTGCCAGGAATACAACAGATAGTACATAAAGGGTTGAGGACCTAGCAGGGCACCCACCATGGTTTCAGGAGCTCTCTGACAATTTCCTTTCAAGCTAACTCCAACAGATATTTCTTCTGTGGGTAATGATCCTGGCAGGACAGTATAATAGTGCTCGTAGAAATGCAATGGAAATGTCTGTATGTTCACTCTCCCTGCTATTGTTAAAGGAGTGAATCATTTCAAGCAAAACAAGAATCCTGTTCTTAAATATAAAAACCATAAACTAGTATGAACTCTTTGTGCCTGGCTTCTTTAGCTCAACCTTTTGTATGTGAAATTTAATCATACTGTCACATCACTATAAGTTCTTAAACTCCAAAAATACTATTTGTTTTCATGGCATCTGGTGTTTTCTATAGAAATGATCATTAAATCTATAATTAAATATAGCTTCATTTGAATACTTTCATAAGAAAAGTATCTTCAGATGAACAAGTCAGAAAGAAATCCTTTATCTTATGTTGTCTAATTTTTTGCTTAGAAAGTAAGAGTCACTGTCACTTTAGGCCCAGATTCCCATGACGGTGTAAATCTGCACACTGTTGTTAACAGGGAGGAACTCTGAGTCGCTCTGCTTCATCTGTTCAATGTTCAGTCCGTGACAGACTTCACTGAAATGACTTCGTTCGCGTGATTCATTAGTTAGCATGTCTCCTGCCCTGCTCAAAACGACCACAGGTAGGATCCCAGGCAGTGAGCAGTCCCAGGCATCTCGCCAGCTACTTCTCAGCCAGGTACTTACTTTCTCCACCAAGTTCCCTGGAAGAAGACTCTCGACAAACTGTCGTAGGTTCTCACGGACCACTGCGTTATGAAAGAAGAAGATTTTCCCGTTTATGATGCCCAGGATAGAGGGTGTGCTGTGCGCTCCCAGGTGGTGAGCCAGGCGCCTCTCGTACCCAGCATGGACCACGCCGATTCCTACACCTGAAAAGTAAGGAAGACCTACATGAAGCCTTTTTATGAGCTCTGGCAGTTGAAGAAATGCCGTTAAGCATTCAAAAAAAATTTTTTTTTCTGTATTGCTTTTAGAGAGAGAGAAGAAGGGAGAGGGAGAGAGAGAGAGAAACATCTTTGAGAGAGAACATTGGTTGGCCGCCTCCTGCATGCCCCCCACTGGGGATCGGGCCCACAACCTGGGCATGTGCCCTGACCAGGAAGCAAATCTGCAAACTCTTGGTGTATGGGTCAATGCACAACCACTGAGCAACACTGGTCAAGCAAGCATTTTTTTTTTTTAATCTTCACCCGAGGACATTTTTCCATTTTTTTGTTCAGATAGAGTGGGAAGGAGAGAGAGGAAGAGAGAGAGAGAGAGAGAGAGAAACATCGACGTGAAAGGGACACATCGAGTGGCTACCTCCCACATGACCCAACCAGGGCTGGGGACAAACTGCAACTGAGGTATGTGGCCTTAGCGGGAACTGAACCCAGGTCTCTCTGGACTGCAGGCCGACACTCTAACTGCTGAGCCAAACTGGCCAGGGCAGCAAGCATTTTTTTTGTTGTGACATTGAAATTCCGACCTACCTGGTTGGATATGTGCAGGAGACAACCAATCAACGTGTCTTTCTCACATGGATGTTTTTTCCTCTCTCCCTTCTTCCCACTCTCTTAAAAATAAATGGATAACCTATCCTTGGGTGAGGATTAACAACGGAAAATTACCTTCTTCCATATAAACGTCTTCCAGTGAATGAAATGATCTTACCCAATCCTTCCAGTTCTTGAACTGCTTCTTTCCAAACAGGCTCAATGTGGATGCAGCTGAAGCACCAATCCGAGGTGATCTTAATGAGGTAGGGTTTCTTGAAGCTATCTGGAACCACTTCGTTCACGTAATGTGAAAAGTGCAGTAAATACTTTTCATCAATGGAGTCCCGCCGCTCGGAATTAAAGGGAAAGTGAAAAAAAGATTCATCAAAATAAAAATTTTCATGGAAATGGCGGAAGCGATACTCTCGCTGCTGTTGCTGCTTCTGGTAGCCCTGGTTCTCGCCAGCATCTCCGTAGTGGTCATAATTGGATCTCTTTTCTTCATTGGAAAGAATCTATAAAGAAAGAAAAAATAAGAAATCTACAGAACAAAAGAAAGTTTATCTAAGAACTTTCCTGTAAGCAGCTTGAAAGATGTAAGAAAAAAAATAAATGTATAGATATGACATGATTAGATCCGAATTGGTCCCCCTACATGCCAGAAAATTCTTCTCTCAATAGAGACATTAAGTATTTCAAGACCAAATTACTTCAGTCACTTAGATACTCATGCTCATCTTGGATTTAAAGATTCTGAGCTATTGTAACACTAAGCACATCAGCAAAACAAAGAGAACTCAATGTTGATCATCAGGGCTCAACCACAGGAAATTGACTAGGTCATGCCATTTATATTGGAATGATTCAACCCAAAATATGAAAAGCTATAGACACCAAAAAGTAACCACAGAACTGAGCCTAGTGCCTTGTGTGCTGGCTGACTTTGTTTTACTCAGAAGCAACTCTGAAGTCCGAAATTCAAGAACCTGTGTCAGGAGAGGTGTCATTCGTGAGCTGAGCACTGCCTGGTGAAGACCATTACCCTGGCCCTGGCCGGTTTGGCTCAGCGGTTAGAGCGTCGGCCTGCGGTCCGGAGAGACCCGGGTTCGGTTCCCGCTAAGGGCACGTACCTCGGTTGCAGTTTGTCCCCGGCCCTGGTTGGTCGTGCGGGTGGCAGCCACTCGATGTGTCCCTTTCACGTCGATGTTTCTCTCTCTCTCTCTCTTCCTCTCTCTCCCTCCCACTCTATCTGTACAAAAAAAAAAAAAAGAAAAAAGAAAAAAAGACCATTACCCTGCACACAGCAGGGAGCCAGGGACTTCTCTGATGTGTGCTCCAGACTGACCTTCAGATGACATGTCAGAAAACTGCTGAGAGCCTTGTGTTTAAGTGTATTTGCAACCTGGAGTCATGTTAATAACTATGGGCAAATTGGTCTGTAATTCTTTAAGTCTCTAGAATGTGTGCTGCCGAAGTGAGCACGTGATATGAGTTTCTAAACAGGAAACAGGGACACACCTTCGGGATAATTCTACAATTCCAATGAAAGCCTTTCAAATAGGCCTTTTTTTTTTTTTTTTAAGAGCTTAAGTGTTCAGGCACTAGTTTCAACATACTGGATGTGGCCAAATACGGTCTCTCTACCATCATCTAGAAACTGGGTCAAGGGTATAGGGAATATGCCCTGTCTGAGAGGACTTGACAAACATTTAGACATGTTTTACAAGAGCTAATGGATGCACCCCACAGTCTCACACCATACCTCATAAGCCTTGCTAATCTGAATGAACCTGTCTTCTGCTCCAGGATCTTTGTTTTTGTCAGGATGCCTGAAACACAAAAGGGCAGGCAGTGAGAATGGATACAATGTGTCAGTCAATTAACATCCCTGACCACATGATTCACTACATCAGAGGCAGATGGAAGGCCCTTTTATTAGAATAATTTCTTAAACATAAATGGTAGAAGCAATCAGTGGCTTCATGTAACTATTAAAAAATGCAACTTTAAAATAGGCAATATCTTCCAAAGTATTTCAGCTGGGCACATGTTCAAAGCGCTACAGGAGATAGGAAAGGTGGGACGTGTGTGTCTTCACATCGCTCCCCAACACTGCTAAAGCTCGGCTCACGGCTAAAGTTACTTGTCCATAAGAACCGACTTCTTTTCCCGGGATGGCAGCATTTCATCCCAACGTTAGAACGATACCAATGATATCAATTTCTTCTGACAACTCTGGTAGACAGAAAATAGCTTTAAGGATGCCACGTGAATTTGTTTAGTAACAATCATGTTTCAAATAGTGTCTTGCTGCTGATGTTCCAATTAGAACATTTTAGTTTTCATGATTATTCTGGTTATCCCATTCTACCTGTGACTGCTTTTGAGCTATAAATGGATGATTTCAAGGCCACACATTTTAAGATGTGAGCAAAGTCTACAGTTTAAGCAAAGTGGTTTGAACTAATATTAGAACAAGTATTTGCTATTATACACAGCTGGCAATTATCCATCTTGCGGTCATATACTATTCTGTAATCCACTTGTATTTATATCATTTTAGTTTTGGGAATTTTAAAGTCCTGGAAAGTAAGGGCGAGATTTTATATCCTTAGAATCCCCTAAGATCTAAATCAGTGTTTGGTGTTTCAGTGTTCATTTTATTGAGACTCTATTACAGACCTTATTCTTTATGTAATACTTCTGGCTAACTTCTAGTAAATTTCCTCTAGCAAAGAGAAATCTGGAAAGAGAAATCTACTGGGAAGCAAATAACTACTAAAAGTACATCAGAATAACAAAGATTTTACAACTTGACCAACTTATTCTAGCAGGAACATATTTTGGACATCACTCCTTGACTATTTGTTCCTTGTTATGAATATTAATGGGGGAAAAATATCCCAGCTACATATAATAAAAACAGTATGACTTAAGGAAACAAGATGATGGTTTCAAGGCATGTTTCTGGATGACCAAAAAAAAAGTACTTTAAACATTCAAACTTAGGCTAAAGGCTGAGACAATAAAAAGTATGCAATCACAAAGATAAAGATTTAACACACAGAACTCTGTAGGGGGAAGGTCGGCAGGGACTTTTAAAGAGAAGGAACCAAAGAGACAGTTGTGAGGGCAGCTGGGTTAAAACCACAGATCCAGCCCTGGCTGGTTTGGCTCAGCGGTTGGAGCGTCGGCCTGTGGATGAGAAAGTCCTGGGTTTGGTTCCCGCTAGGGGCACGTACCAAAAAGAACCCAAAAAAACCCCACAGATCCTGCAACAGAGGAAACCAAGGCCCAAGAACTGGGAGGAAACCACAGGACAATTTCAGCTTATAAGGAATATTTTTCTAACCACAGGGAGATAGCAAAGTTGAAAATGGTTGGAAAAAGATAAATTCAGCTCTAGGAAAGTACTGTTCAATGGTATTTTCAGTATATATGAAACATTTCACAAACTGTAATATATATATACATCCTTTAAATTTCAAAGTGAAGAATATACTGTGCTTGGTATCTACTGGTGATCTAGCTATCTCTAAGGGAATGAAAACGAAGGTAGAAAAAATAATATAGTTTGACTATCAACTGTAATTAAAAAATTAACAAATAACAAAAATGGTGAAAATAAACATTAAAAGTAATATGGTAAAGTATGAGACAAATCCATTTACTGTTCAGGTGACTGACCATGTTAATACCCATTTACTTCAAATCAAATTTTATGACGCCCTTTTCTTGGAGTGGGAGGAGTTGTTTATTTTGCCAATGTAGACGGCAAAAGAAAAGTACCTATGACAAATCTTAATTATTGGGAAACAACCAGTTTTTCTGAGAGGAAAAAGTAATTGTAAATGGTTTCACCAAGCAAGGGGCGAGTCTAAGCAACTCTATTAAGTGGTAAAACACAGTAGGGGAAGGCTACAAATCCAATTAGACAATTCTCCACTTCCTCCTGTTATAGTTCATTTTGAAAAGTCAAACTGGGAAAGATTGTTATTTTCAATGCATATGAACCTGTTACAAAAGGAAAAAAACGATTTCAGTGATAAAATAATAGTACAGCAAAAATACAAAGGTAAAATAAAATTTTAGACTTTCTCTGGATAATACTCTATATATTCTACAGTGATGAATTACTCCTAGAGAGAATCTAATTAAGGAAGAGAAGTATATGACTCATTTAATTAATATAACATCCCTTTCAGTTCTGGAAGATAGCAAAGTCAAAGCTGTATATTTTAATAGGTCTTATGTACTCAAGCTATCATTTCTGCTTTTAAAATGTCAAAGGCCATCTCCTGTCCAAAAGAATGTTACTATCTTATGAGTTCATTGCAGGTTTATAAATTTTGCTTTAAACATAAAGAGGCAAGAGTTTGAAATGATGTAGAAAGCAGCTTTGCTGTAGAGTCCCTGGAAAGAGGCCATACATAATTAGAAACTGTGTTTTTAGTAACCAATTCTGGATTCTTCCTGATATGACTATGGTCTAAAACATCTATTTAAAACATTATATTTTATAACAATCTTTTACCTGTGATGCAACCAGTTTAAAACTAAGACATATGTTTCATTGAATAATGGTGTCAGGCCGTCACGCACTACCTGCAATGTCATCTGCATGTTGCACTTTGGTTCCTGTCTAACTTCCTACCCACCCAAACACTAACCTACTCAGTCTTACTTCTGCTCAGATGGGTAAGCAATCAAAAAACACAAAATTCCCTGCTAGTGTGGCTCAGTGGATTGAGCACCATCCCACGCACTGAGAGGTCAGGGTACATGCCCGAGTTTCAGGCTCGATCCCCAGTAGGGGGCGTGCAGGAGGCAGCTGATCAACGTTTCTCTCCCACATCAATGTTTCTATCTTTCTCGCTAATAAAACCAATAAAAACATATTTTAAAAAACAAAACAAAACAAAAAACCCCCCAAAACACAAAAGCAATAAACTACCTGTTGGTGCAGAAGGTCAAACTACAGCACCCGGAGGTAATGTAGACTTAACCCATAACACAGGGACAGCAATACCCTCCCTCACAGTGTAATTATAAGGCTTAAATGAGATAAAAAACATAGAACCTGGAGCCTAGCATGCATGTGCTCAGTGACGGCTCCCACCTCACACCTTCTTTCTGTACTTGGGCCTGGTTCACCTAGCTGGCAATCGCCTGTGTCCCTCCTTTCCTCCTCCCGCTGCTCCCCTTCTGCTATGCAATCCCACACTTCTACTTAGGCAAGTCTATAGTGGAAGAAACTGATGATGTCTGTCCAAAATAAGTTTTAAATTTTCTGCTGTCCTGCTAATTCATAAACATATGTATATTCTCTGGCATATATAATATTCAGGTAAAATTCTGATTTTTCTATAAAGTAATATACTCAATTCCTGAATACCATTTAAAATTGAGGGCAAAAAGCTCTTATTCTAAAAATTTTTAGAAAGCTTAAAAATTAATAATCTAGAAAACAGAAATGGGTAGCCTGGCCGGTGTGGCTCAGTGGATTGAGCATCATCCCATGGACTGAAAAGTCCTGGTTTGATTCCCGGTCAGGGCACATGTCCGGGTTTCAGGCTCCATCCCCAGTGGGGGGCACGCAGGAGGCAGCCAATGTATCTCTCACATCGATGTTTCTATCTCTCTCTAAAAAAATAAATAAAAACATATTTTTAAAAAGACATATATAAAAAAAAATAGGAGTGGGCAGTATACTCTTTAGCAATGACACTCATGAAGAGTTACCTTATGAATAACATCATGGGAAGAGTAGCTTATCCATTGTTGGGTACATGTGTTTTAGAAATTAAAATTCTTTCCTATCGCAACATATACTAATGGTATCTAGCGCAGTTAAAGGAGTTTCATAGTAACACAGGCTTTGGGGTCACATCACTAAAAATTATAGAATAACATTAACAATAGTTCTCCCAAATAAAATATCTTAGATAGATATATATTCATTGCACACAGAGACAGAGACAATTAAAGCTAATCAAAATTTAGGCTTCATTTCCCTGCTACAACTGCTAAGCTTATATTAAACTATTTCTTTGTTTCACCTACCATTCCCGGGCGAGCTTCTTATAAGCCTTTTTAATATCAGCCTGACTGGCTGTTCGGCTGACCCCTAGGACTCTGTATGGGTCAAAATCCAACGCGGACAGAATTTGCAGGATCAGAACCAGAACTATCAAGAACTGCCAGGAAATGCTCAACTTTTTCACTTCCATTTCTCTTCCTTTCCAGAGCTGAAATAATTGAAGAGGCAACAAGTTTCAGTGGTAGAAACCTGGACGGTCTTGATTTTTAGGTAAAGGTATAAGATATACAGATGAAAAACAAAACAAACAAAAGATATTTTGCAGGGAAAGTGTCAAGCTGTCTGACTATATTTTAATAAGTCAACAATCTCGTTACTAATTATATCACACATAAGATTACAGAACAATTATAGATGAAAAGATAAGCAATAAGAGTAGCAACTCTCCAGAGTCCTTGGATTAGAAAAGCTTCAGAAATGTCTGAAAATGAATGAGATGCAGAAATAAGCAAATGTGGGAAGACATATATAGAAAAATCAAGGTGACTACATCTCAAATATACTGTTTTACTTATTGATAATAATAATGTAAACTTAAAATATGAAGCTTACAAATACCTCATTGAGTATATGCTAAATAAATTCATGAAATCATAAGATTCACCATGTGCAAAATTATAAAATGAGATCGTTGTGATGTTCCTGGGAGTTAAATAAGTATAAATACAAAAGTGAAATACTCTTAAAAAACTGTGCAATTAAAACTTAATATGCCCCAATTCTACTCTTTCTCACCAAGCTCATTAGAACAAGAAAATGAAGCTGCTCTTTAATTTGATCACTAGCAATATGGTCATTACAGAGACCTCAGGAAATGCTCAACTGTCCCACTATTTGAGAAAAAGTGGTGAGAAAAATTTAGTTTTCCACGTGATGGGGATTAATGACAAAGACTGTGGACCAGACATGATCTTCAAATATTAAAGCTCCATCTCTGGTGAGAGTAGTGGCTGAATTCATTGTGGGTTCTGGAAATAATCCTGTCTGGTTAATGAACATGGTAGTGTGCTGTATTAGACAGACACACTCCAGGATTGTGATCTTGGTGCTATCATACAACCTTTTTTCAAGGGCCACATTTATCTCGACTTCTCACAAATTACGTTTCAAGGTTCAAGTGTCCATTGTGGCACCTTTAAGAGGTGAGCAAAAAGCTCCCACAGCGGTGGCTTCTGACAGGTAGAAATCTGAATGCTACCTGGGAGTTCTTACAAAACTGACTAACCCGAGGGCCAACGTTCAGGACTGCATGCATGCTGAATAAAATCCGAAAACCAGTTTCTTCCTTGTTCAGGCAACCCTGAACCTATCCTGTCCTACAAAACATGCACAGCCCTCTAAAAATCTGGATGGTGATATAGCTACTGGTTAAGCACATGGTCTCTGGGATCAGGCTAAGACTGGGATCCATCCTCCACCACTTTATGACCTTGGACAAGTTACTTAACCTTGTTAAGCCTCAGTGTTCTTATTCAAAAAACGAGGGTGAGTAATACAACGTTGAAAGAATCAACATGGGAGTTAATGTATGTATTTACTGGGCACATGGTCAAGTCAGTAAGTGGTACTTGTTATTATTTTTCTATCGTTCTGTGCAATCAATGCCTTATTCGACGGTGTCAGTCGCCTCCAGTTAGAAGGCCCAAGTGGCGGGTGGCTGGGAAGTTCTTGTGCAGTCAGCTTGACGGTGGCGGTCTCAGGGCAGGAAACAACCTGCCCAACAGGTAGGCTACCGCTCTTGGGCAATATCCCCTAAACCAGGCAGCGCTCCCGGAGACACGCTCCGAGTGTGAGCACCGCACTGAGCACCGCCTGGAGCTCCTGCCGGAGGTCGCAACCCTCCAGGAGACGGCCGCCTCCTCCGCTGCCCGCCGAGAGCCCTGGGCCTGGCCCTGTCGGCTCCCGGTTCCCTCCCAGGCCCAGCAGGGGCCGGGAGCCAGGAGGAACTGAAGGGAAATTCCTGAGCCTGCCCGGCCCTGCCGCGTCTGCGGCTCCGCGCGTCTCGCCGGGAAGGAGTTACCGGGAAAGGGCACCGGCCTAAACGGCTGCAGCGTCCGAGATCCAGTTATTCCGCCAGCCGGGAGCCTCGGGTCCACACCAGCGCTCGCCGGGGCCTGGGGAGGGGAAGGAGGAGGGGACAAGCCTGAAGGAAGTCACGTGACACTTAAAGGCCCTGCGCATGGAAGGCACAGACGGAACAGGTGCAGGACTTCCAGTTTGCCAATGTGTTTTGACCCTTGCCACGCGCCGTCTACGGGTGGACCTAACGCGGTTACCATGGGGACGAGACGCACTCTTTGGCTGGCTCAAAAGGGATGATCGTGACCAAAGAGGTCAAAACGTGCCTCCTAGCGAGACTAAGTCGCGGTGCAAGATGGGATGCGAAAGAGACCTCCTCGATCCAGGGAGGAGTTTCCAGTACTACCAGGAGATGGCCCTGGTCTAGCAACAGTTGCTAGGATGGGGAAGCAATTGCCTGTCCCGGTTCTCTTTAAGCCTATTCATAGAATCCTAGAGCGTCAGAATTGGAAGGGACCTTAGGGATCCTTTCTAGTCCAACTCCTCCATATGCTGATGGGGAGACTGCGGCTCAGAAAGGAGCAGGGACTTTCCCAAGGCCTGGAACCCAGGACTCCTAAAGCCATTTACCAAAAAGTGAGCTCTACCTTAGAATGTGCCACTCCCTGCCCTTAGCAAGGAAAAGGGATGGTGAATGTGTGCTGGTGGTTGTTGGGGACGGGGAGAGGCACAGGTAAAAGAGATAAACTTTTATTGAGCCAATGAAATAGGTTCTTTAGGGATATAAAGAGATTTCATATTCCCCCGCCCTGTATGTATGCATGTATGTATGTATGTATTTATTTATCTCCTTTGCATTTATTGATATCTAACATACTACATCTTTGATCATTTGTCTTCTCCCACTGTGATGTAAGCTCCTAATAGCAGGACTATTTTTTCCTCCCACCTCTGTATTCTCAGTGCCTGCACAGACCTTGGCACAGACAGGATCGCAATAAATATTTGTGGAATAATGAATGAATGGGGCTGGGGTTTTGCTGCTCAAGAGTATGCATTGTAAGGTGGACTCCAGGTTGAGTGTGGACTTTGAATCAGGTTCGAATTTAAATCTTTCCCGCCTCTGCCACTTACTACCTCTGAGATTGTGACCGGTGACTTCATTTCCTTGGGCCCCAGCGACCACATATGTAAAGTGGGGGAAAGTACTTCCCTGGTAGTACTGTAGTCAGAGGTACATGAAGTAATGGAATGTAAAGTGGCTAGCACAATGTCGGGGACTTAGCAAATGCTCAGTAAACAGGGGCAGTTACTTTTCAAATGTGGAAATGAGCCGTGCAAACTGGGAGTGCAGAAGACTAGATTTCGACCCGTTATTATTTTTCTCTTTGTGGTGGGAGGTGCTAGGGTGGGAGGGAGGGAAGAGGGGAGTGGAAGACCGTGAAAGGTGAGCTTGGTTGGATGAGACGCGCGAGTTTGGAACAGTGAACGATGAGAAACAGGCACGGGTGTGGAAGATTTATGGTTTTAATGGGGGCAAGGCAGGGGGCTCAAGGGACAGACCGTGGCTCCAGGTATGGCTGTCTCTTACTAGCACTGTAACCCTCTCCGACTCTCGGCATAAGCGAGTGGTCTTGAATATTGGCCTGGGGCAAACGGCAGTGTCCCGGGTGTGGGTCTGAGATGGGGCGTTGACGCAGGGGCGGGGCGTTGGCTGGTGGGTGTGTCCTGGGGGCGGGGCAGGGCGCAGAGGCGGAGCCGAATGGACCGGAGGTGGCTTAGTCTGGGGGCGGGACTCTGGAGGCGGGACCCTGGGGGCGAGGGTGATACGAGGGCGGTTCTTGGGGAGCGGGCGGGGTGCGGTGGCCGAGGCCCGGAAGCAGACGGAGGCGGCCAGGGTCCCCGCTGTCTACTAGCCATGGACGAGGCTGACCGGCAGCTCCTGCGGCGGTGCCGGGTGCAGCTGGTCAGCGAGCTTCAGGTGGCCTCTCTCTGGGACGCTCTGCTGAACCGCGACCTATTCAAGCCCGACATGATCGAGGACATCCAGGTGCGCCCCGCCCCTCCCAGCCGGCGTCCATCCCCGCGACCCTTGCCTTGCGCAGACTTCGGTCCCAGATGGGGACAGTGAGGCCTCGCGGAGAGGGTTGCTGGAGCCACAGCGCAACTTAATGGTCGAGCTCCCCAGTCTGTGCCACCCGGTTCCTCCACCCCCTTTAGGGAACCATTGTGCGGGAACCCCGTTTTTCCTTCCGGTAGCGAGCCCACCAAGTTGCCCAGCCGAACCAAACAATCCCAGACGCCTCTCTGAGGGCTCGCTACCGCAGTTCGGCGCCCTGCACCACCAGCCTGCTCTGTTAGCTGCTGCAGCGCTGTGCTTTTGCCAGCAAGGAGGCATGTTTGTTTTTCCTCCTCTAGCAGGGAGGTCCACGGCACCCACTTGGGTGGCAGACTGCCTGGCACCCTGTCCTTGGGCAAGTCACCCTCTCTGAGCCAGTTTCCTGGGCTGTGAAATGGGACAACAGTAGTACTGCTCTGAGTGCTAAATGAGATAACGGACATGAAACAGTAGAGTGTCAGGCACAGTAAGGGCTCGTGTGGTAGTTGGCTGTGTGTGCCCTGTCCTCCTTGGCCAGCCCTTCATGTGTTAAGTTTATGTTTTCTAAGGGGTTTTGGAGATGAGCAGCCTTTTGCAGGTAATAGAGGGAATAATAAAGTTAAACATTGGAAATTCTCTTTAAGAGCACTTTTTTTTTTTTTTTTTATCCTCACCCGAGGATATTTTTCCATTTTTTGTACAGATAGAATGGGAGGGAGAGAGAGGAAGGGAGAGAGAGTGAGAAACATCGACGTGAAGGGACACATCGAGTGGCTGCCACCCGCACGACCAACCAGGGCCGGGGACAAACTGCAACCGAAGCACGTGCCCTTAGCGGGAACCGAACCCGGGTCTCTCCGGACCGCAGGCCGACGCTCCAACCGCTGAGCCAAACCGGCCAGGGCAGCACTTTTTTTTTTTTAATTCCCACTCGACATTTTTCCATTTTTGTTCAGATAGAGTGGGAGGGAGAGGAAGAGAGAGAGAGAGAAAAACATCCACGTGAAATGGACACATCAAGTGGCTGCCTCTGGAACGACCCAACCGGGGCCAGGGACAAACTGCAACCGAGGTACATGCCCTTAGCAGGAACTGAACCCTGGTCTCTGGACCACAGGTGGATGCTCTAACCACTGAGAAAAACTGTCCAGGGCTAAAAGCACTTTCTTGGGCTTATTTGACCCCCACCACGGGCCTGTGAGGTAAGGTGGGTACAAGAGGGTGCAGCAGGTGTCTGTGGCTTCCTGGAGGCCTCTAGCCGGTACCCTGTGGGCTGCTTGCAGGCTGAATGTCCAGTTTCTGCATCACCCAGGAGCTTGGCCTGACCCAGTGAGGAAGTCTTTAATAGAACAAGGGTCACATGGAAAATTCCCAATGAATAATAATATTAAAAGAGGTCTTATGAGCACCTGCTGCATGGCCTGTACATTCACCAACTGGAATACCTGTGGAGGCCCAGTGGGTGGGCACTACAGCTTCTGCCCTGCCCTCCAGCTCCATCTGGGTATGGTCATGCCAGCCAGAAAGCTGGTATGATGTTGCCAGGTCTTTCATGTTGTTAAAGAAAACCTGGAAATCTTTATTCTGATGTCAAATTACTTGATTTTAAATGTTAGCAAAAGTTCAAAATTTTAAAAAACTACTGTGTGAATGACGGGTGCCATCCCACCACACCTGGTACGGCTGATAAACACACAGGCTTTGGAGCCACGTGGATCTGGGCCTCCATCCGGTTATATATCTTTGTTATATATCAGCTTTGTTATATATCAGCAAGTTGCAACACCTTTTTGTGACTCAGTTTCTCCCTTCCCTAAAGTGGGGATACTTGTAATTTAAGGTTGCTGAGGGGGACTAAATGAAACAATGCATTTTACAAGTGTCTGTCTTATTGTGTGTTCAGTAACTCTTGAGAGAAATCAAAACACCACAGTCTACTTGTAGAAGTAGGCAGATAGCTGTTTAGCTACTGAGAATTATCTTCTCAGTGATATTATTGGTCTGTGCTGTTCAATATAGTAGCCATTGACCACATGTTGCTATATAAATGTAAACCTGAAGTAATTACAGTTAAACAAAATAGCCCTGCCAGTGTGCCTCAGTGGTTGGGCTTTGACCCGTGCACCAAGAGGTCACCAGTTGGATTCCCGGTCAGGGCACACGCCTAGGTTGTGGGCCCGATCCCCAGTGGGGGGCATGCAGGAGGCGGCCAGTTGATGTTCTCTCTCATCTATGTTTCTGTCTCTCCCTTCCTCTCCCTTCCTCTCTCTCTAATATCAATAAAGAAAAAAAATTAAACGAAATAAAAAATCCGGTTCCCTCGTTGTAGGGCCTGAGTGCTACGTGTCTGATAGCTGCCGTAATGACAGCGCAGCTAGAGAACATGTCCGTGATCTCGGGAAGCTCCCTTGGGCGGTGCTGCTGAAGGACACTTGAAGACAGGGCAGGGTCTTATTCCTGTGGATCTTGAGGATCTTGCCCAGGCCTGGGTCTCAAAGGACAACCAGCTGATAACCAATATCTTCTTCTTGCTCCCACCCCACTCCCTGTCTTAGTGCTGGCCTCAGCATCCCCACACCTGTCAACTGTGACCATTTCTCCATCTTCACAGTCCCCAGTCAGTGGCCAGGTCCTGTTGATTCTCCCTCCTTATTTCTCTGGTCAGACCTATCACTTGTCTCTCTTCCAGCTACACCATCTTTGCTGCCACCTGACCTGGCTGTTACTCCCTTCCTTGTCTACCCTGCCTCCAGGATGATTTTTCTAAAAGGCAGAGCTGACTCTGTCACTCCCTTCTTATTGATTTTATTTTTATTTTTTATTTTTTTTATGTCACTCCCTTCTTAAAACTCTTCAGTGGCTTCTCACAGCTTCCTTAGTAAGACCACGACAATGCCTCATCCCTCACTACTGTTTCCCACCCCAAATTACACTTCCCATTTTACACTTCCAAAGACCACACATATTTACTCTCTTATGTTTCTTTTTTTATCCTCACCCGAGGACTTATCTTCAAATAGAGCGAGGGAGAGAGGAAGGAAGGGAGAGAGGAAGAGAGAGAAACATCGATGTGAGAGAGACACATCGACTGGTTGCTACCCACACAACCCCAACCAGGGCCGATCCAAGCAACCGAGGTACGTGCTTGTAGCAGGAACTGAGCCCAGGACTCTGGTCTGCGGACTGACGCTCTAACTGCTGAGCCAAACTGGTCAGGGCAATTTTCTTACATTTCTTGAGGTCAAGAGTTCAAGTGAGCTCTAAGGGCTTAAAGTAAAGATGTCAGCAGGGCTGCTTCCTTCTGGAGGCTCAGGGGAGAATCCATTCCTTGCCTCCTGCAGCTTCTAGAGGCTGCCAGCATCCCTTGGCTTATGGCCACATCACTCCAGCCTCTGCTTCCATCATTGGGTTTTGCTGTTCACTTCCTCATGTTTCCTGGCGCCTCAGCTAAGATTCCCTGCTGGAAGCCTCTAACCTCCAGGACTGAGCTGGGTGCCCCTGTACTCTCCCAGTCCCACGTGCTTCCCCTGTGGCACATCTCTCCTTGCTGTGTCATTGTTGATTTGTCTGTTTGCATGCCCCACACAACGTTTGCTCCTTGAGGACTGAGATTGTTCTTTGCTGTATTTTCAGCACTTAGCACAGCACTGGGCACATCGTAGATGCCTCCAAAATACTGAATGAACAGACAAGCCAAGGCAGGAAGGCTCAATTTTTGCCCACGTGGCTGATTGTTTAGATTTATACTATCCGGGAAATGGGGGACCAGGTGAGAGGCACAGGAGGTGTGTGAGTAATAGTGCCTTCTCTTTCTTTCCCAACAGAGGGCAGGCTCTGGGTCTCGGCGCGATCAGGCCAGGCAGCTGGTCATAGACCTGGAGACTCGAGGGAGTCAGGCCCTGCCTTTGTTCATCTCCTGCTTAGAGGACACAGGCCAGCATAGCCTGGCTTCGTTGCTGAGAACCAGTAGCCAAGCAGCAAAGCCGGATCTGGAGGCCGTCAGACCCCTGAACCTCGTGCCTGCGGTGGTCAGACCAGAGGAACTGAGAGTAGTGAAGCAGGATCCATCGAAGCCGACCCCAGGTAAACTCCAGCCAGTGGATTTGGGACCAGAAAAGCTCCATCCGGCCAACTTTAGTCCAGAGGTTCGCAGACCAGGCGTGCCCAGGGCAGTGGACGTTGGTTCTGCAGGATTCAGTGATGTCTGTGAGTCCTGAGAGAGTGGTTAGCAGTGGGGGCGTGACCATTGGTACAGCCGGGCAGGTTGAAATTCAGAATTTAATTTTGGTGTGTTTCTGAGTACTCATAGGGAATGGGTGGAATATTCTGGTAAGTCTTCAGAAGATTTACCAGAAACCCCTCCTCTGAAGAACATGTTTTCTTTTCTTTCTTTTTAAAAAAAATCATCATAGAAATATATTTGATTTCAAAATAATGTAGTTCTATTTAGAATGCTGTAATCATTATTTAAAACAAATATCATCATTGGCTCTGAAACAGGACTAAGGATGTCATTCTTTTGAAGTAAAAAATATGTACTAAGAATGTACAAGGAAGGAAAAATATAAAAAACAAGCTTGCTAAGTATTGGGCATTGTTACAAGAGGACTCACTAAGATACTATAACGGAGTCCAAACTATAAAACATACAGCAAGGAGTTCTCTTGCTTTATCAGTTCCCTGGAAAACAACCCAGTAACCTCAGTAATGCAAGAATATCACCACTTGGTTAACAGGCCAAACTTCCTGAGGGACCCAGGTAGTAATTCACTGTATTTCCCCTTTCTCCAATTCCTTTCTTTTCTTTTTTTTTTTTTATCCTCACCCGAGGACATTTTTCCATTTTTTGTTCAGATAGAGTGGGAGGGAGAGAGAGGAACAGAGAGAGAGAGAGAAACATCGATGTGAAAGGGACACATCGAGTGGCTGCCACCCGCACGACCGACCAGGGCCGGGGACAAACTGCAACTGAGGTACATGCCCTTAGTGGGAACCGAACCCGGGTCTCTCAGGACCACAGGCCGACTCTCTAACCGCTGAGCCAAACCGGCCAGGGCTCCAATTCCTTTCTTTACACCGATTTCTTTTCTTCCTTTAACATCGGTTTCATCCTATTGAAAAATATTTGGTTTTATTTGTAAAGTGGTGTAAATGATAATCCTGATGGAAGTAGTCAGTGCTTTAGCTCAAGAATCAAACTTTTGAGAAAGGTCAGTCAGCTAGTTAACAGAGACCATTGGGGCTTCAGAAGAACAATTTCAGATAATGTATGTTTGCTAAATAGATTTAAAAAATAAGCAATAAACAATGGGTGGAAAACCCATTTAACTGTGACCTAGACAATCAAAAGCAGACAGGTGACATTTGATTCAACTCATTTACTTGTGGAGTGGGCTGTAAGGAGGCTCCGAGACAGGGTTTGGTTTCCAACAGTGTCCATGGCCAAAGTGCCAACTCAGAAGGTCTCCTCCTCTCGTAGGAACTGGAACATGGATGGGAAGTCTTTCTTCGAGTAGTTCTTTGCACACAGATCCTGTAGATCTGATGGGCTTGGCTACCCAGGAGGATTGGGCTCTTTGTACTGGTGGCAGAGTCTTGTGCTAACCCCAGATCCTTAGCCATAAGTGTTGTTCCGAATCCACCCTGACAGTTATTAGCTGAGGGAACTCTATCCATCACCCCAGGTACAGGATTGTAAGTGTCACTTGACCAACACGGTCCTAAACTCATATTTAGGATTTTAGCCCATAGTTTTGGGTCAAGCCCTAACCTGATTCCAAGATTCATAGCTTCAGCGGTTCCAATCGAAGGTCTGTGTATTGTTGCAGATCTTTGCAGCCTGCCGGTTCCAATAGTGCCACAGCATGGCGCATTGGAACCCATGCAGCCTAGCAACTCTTGGGCAGCAGCAAATTCGTCTTTGACTCCTCCCACCATAAACGTGAGGTTCCCAGACCGAGCAGCTCCCACACCACCAGAAACAGGGGCATCCTTGAAAACTGCTCCCATTTTCTCAATTTCTTTGGCTAATTCTTTTGAAACCCAATAGTACTGGGACCTATTAATAGTGAGCCTTTCTTCACTTTTTTTTTTAAGAATTCCATTTGCTTCAGAATAAGCTTTTATTGCGTTCATACTGGTGGGCAACATTGTAACAATTCTGTCAGCTTTCTCAGCTACATCTGCTGGGGAAGACACTACCTGTTCACCTGCTTCTCGAAATTCTTTGCATGCAGCATGGAACATGTCAGAAATAACCAGTGGGTAGCCATGTTTCAGGAGGTTATTTTGCCATTGGATTCCCCATGCTACCTAGTCCAGTGAATCCAACTGGAGTCTTAGAGGCCATTGACCTAGAACACACTGCTGCAAGGTTGGCCGCAGCTCTGTACAGGAGGCGGTTCCATGGAGCCAAAAGGAGGCGGCCATGCTTCCCCTGCCCCGCCTCCCAGCTGTGACCTCTGCAGCTCTGGCTTGCCCACTGACTGCGAGTGTACCTGGCAAGGTGGGCAGGCCTGTATTCTTTTCTGAATGAATAATTTCAAATGACTTGTCTTCTGCTTCACAGATTCTTTCTTCTGTTTGATCAAGTCTGATATTGATGTTCTCTGTTGAATCATTTTATTTTATATTATTCATTGCATTCTTCAGCTTCAGAATTTGTTTGGTTCTTTTTTATGATTTCTATCTTTCTGTTAAGCTTCTCGTTGTGTTTATTGTTTTCCTGATTTCATTGAATTGTCTTTCTGTGTTTTCTTGTAGCTAACTGACCTTCCTTTAAACACTAGTTTTGAATTCTTTTTTTTTTTTTTTAACAAATTTTTTTTTTTCTTTATTGATTTTTAGAGAAAAAGGAAGGGAGAGGGAGAGAGAGATAGAAACATCAATAAACGAGAACATTGACTGGCCGCCTCCTGCATGCCTCCCACTGGGGATCGGGCCCACAACCTGGGCATGTGCCCTGACCAAAAATCGAACTGGTGACCTCTTGGTGCATGGGGTTGATGCTCAACCACTGAACCACACTGGCTGGGCGATTTTGAATTCTTCATTGAGCAAATCTCAGATTTTTGTTTCTTTGGGGTCGGTTACTGCACATTTATTGTGTTCCTTTGATGGTGTTGTGTTTTCTTGATTTATCATGTTCCTTAAAGTCTTGTGTTGCTGTCTTTGTGTTTGAAGAAGCATCACCTCCTGTGAGCTTTACCGACTAGTCTGTGTAATGCATCTAATCTTGGATTTTTTTTTTTTTGCATCAGCAGTGTGCTAGAAGTTCTCCACTGGACTCCTGAGCTTCCACAAAGTCACTCTTGTCCATGGGTGATTGTCAAAATTGGTGTTCTTTGTGGGGGAAGGCAGTAGAAAATTATATTTTTTTAAAAAGATTTTTTTTAGAGAAGAAGGGAGAAAGAGAGGAAATGAGAGGGAGAGGGAGTGGGAGAGACAAACATCGATCAGTTGCCTCCTGCATGCCCCCTATGGTGCCTCCCACAACCTGGACTTGTGCCCTGACTGGGAATCGAACCAGCAATCTTTTGGTGCTTGGGACAATGCCCAACTAACTGAACCACATGAGGCAGGGCAGCAGTAGAAAATTAAAAAAAAAAAATTTTTTTTCTTTATTGATTTTAGAGAGAAAGGAAGGGAGAGGGAGAGAGAGAGATAGAAACATCAATGAGAGAGAACATCGATTGGCCGCTTCCTGCATGTCCCCCCACTGGGGATCGGGCCCACAACCTGGGCATGTGCCCTGACCAGGATCAAACCGGTGACCTCTTGGTGCATGGGTCGATGCTCGACCACTGAGCCACACCAGCCAGGCAATAGAAAATTCTTATTCTGCCATTTGGATGATGTCACTTTCACTTTGTGGATAATTGTTGCTGATTTGAAAAATGAATTAATTCCTCAGTAGTGGATAATTGTTATATTTTTGGGGCGCAGTGGAGTTTTAGAAATGAGCAATAGTTTCAGAATTAAGTCTGTGGACTGACAGAAGCTTTCAGGCTAGGTAAAACCATTAAGGAAAAAAACATGGGATGTGAATGCTTTTCTAACGTGATTTTTAAGTCGGAGAGAGAATAGTTCCCAGGAAGGTGTCCATGCCTACTCTGAGCAAGGACGGTCCCCATGGCTGGATCATGAGTGTAGGCTCCCACATGTCTTGGAGGAAGCCACCACGTTCTCTTTGCTTAAAAAGAAAAAGTGTCCTACGCCCTTATAGGCCGGTGGCTTTTTGACTTTTAGCTAACTGAAATGAAAACTCTCATGACTGAAGGAAGAAATGACCATTGTACTCATTGATGCATTCTGCAAATATTTCCTGGGGATCTACTGTGTGCTGGGCCCCATGGGTTCCATGGAGTAGAGCTTCCCTCATACTCTTCTGTTCTAGAATTTCACACAAAGAGAATCACACTGAATGGCATGTTCTACTCGGCATACTGTTTTTGAGAGTATCCATGGTGTCCTATGTATCACATGTGTTTATCTATGGACCTGTTGACGGACATTTGCTTTGTTTCTGTTTCTGGGCGTTGTGAGGAAGGCTGCAGTGAACATTGGGGCCAAGTCTTTTTGTGTCCATGGCGCTTATTTCTCTTGGGTGTACATACACATGGGAGTGGAATTGTTGGTCAGAGGGTATGTGTGTGTGTAATTATCAGAAACTTCTAAACAGTTCTCCGAGGTGGCTGTGCCCCTCGACTGTCTCCCACCCGCAGTGTCTGAGGGTCCCCAGGTGCCCACTCCTGCGTTTCTGTGGGGGCTGTCCTCATAGAGTCCCTTGCCTCTCCCCTGTTGGACACCGACATTTATTTTCCCCTCTGTCTCTCTCTCTCTCCAGGTGCTCAGGAGAGACTGAGGAGAAACACGGATTTGGTGAGTCTTCGTATGATTTCTGGCCAGTTGCGTTGGCTTTGGGTCCTGCTCCTCACTCTCCAGGTCTTTCCCTGCAGCTGTGTCAGGAGCCCAGGGACCCAGCTCCGCTGGAGAGCGGGGCCCAGCCCAGGCCCCCGTCGCTTCCCGACCCTGGTACAGCTTTTTCCAGAGCAGATCGTCCCGCCCCGCTCTTTCCTCACCTGTGACGTCAGAGGCTCAGACCTGATGAGGGGTGGGCGTCAGATTGGCTGTGGACCACCGCAGACTGAGTCATTCACAGCATTTGTGGTGTGGCTCCCTGTGCCAGCCCTGGCCTCTGTGGGGATCCTGGGAACAGACCACTTTTGTTCCTAGCTCTCCTCAGCCATCAGCCCAGCGGGGGCTAGTTACAGAAAGACACAGATGAGTGAAACTAGTGTTACGTACCGTAAGCAAAATGAACAGGTTGGTGCAAGAGAGGATTACAGGGGAAACACTGAGCCTGGGGAGGAAGTGGTGTCGATGCTCCGAGTCTGCCCACAGTCACCCACACGGTTCTCAGGTGCTCCCCCGGAATGGACGGTCCGTAAGGTCCTTTTGGGGTGAATGCCTGTGGGTGTTGGATTTCTAAGCAGGCAGCCCCCATCCCTGGGTACTGTGGTGGGAGCTAATCTCCTCTCCCAAGCTGAGCTGTTTGAACATCACACAGCCCAGTCCGCGCGCTGTGTTTCCTTGTGCCCTGCAATGCTGGGGGCAGAGGCTGCTATTCCTTCAGAGGGAGGGCGGACCCCGTTTTCTGTCTCATTGCTCCGCACTGTCAACCACACGAGTGAAAACCAGGGGGTCGCCTTCCCTCCTGAGGTATGCAGTGGGACCGCGGTTGACACGGGTCCCTGTGCTCGGGCAGGCCTACGTCCTGAATGCGGACCCCTGTGGCCACTGCCTCATCATCAACAACGTGAACTTCTGCCTGAAGTCGGGGCTCAGCACTCGCACCGGCTCCAATGTCGACTGTGAGAAGTTGCAGAGACGCTTCCGCTTGCTGCGCTTCGTGGTGGAGGTGAAGTCCGATCTGACTGCCAGGGTATGTCACTGTCCTTGCAGACAGACGGGGCGCGTGGGGCAGTGTCCTGCAGGGACCCTGAGAGCAACCGGCTCGCTGTGAGAGGCCCTGAAAGCAAGTGACTCCCCAAGACCAGCCCTTAGGTCTGTCGGACCATGAGAGGCAGTGCTGCCAAGTGGTCACCAGTTTAAGCTTCAGACTCAGAGAGACCTAATGGAAGACTCTCTCCTGGTCCTGCTGGGTGACTCCTGAGCCGGATTCACGGTCTAGACAGCAAGAGCAGGACGCACCTCCTGGGGTCGTTGTGAGGATTAAATGAACAGTGCCCGAGCACGGCACCTTTGCCCCGAGGTTGTGACTGTTACGAGTGTCATTACTTCAGCATCGGCCCCGGGAGCAGGGAACATGGTCTGCCCAGGTGCTCGGGCGAGCCCCGGATGGGGACCTGATCCGTCAGCGTTCTGCTCACCTGCGCCTTCTCCCTGCAGCAGATGCTCCAGGCTCTGGTGGAGCTGGCACGGCGGGACCATGGTGCCCTGGACTGCTGCGTGGTGGTCATCCTCTCTCACGGCCGTCAGGTAGGAGGCCGGGCTTCCTGGGCAGGCACTGGGGAGAGGCTGGACCGACAGGCTGTGCAGGAGCCCTGACCCTTCCTGTGCCCAGGACACCCTGGGCTTTGCGGGAAGAGCCATGGGGCCCTGTCCACCTGCTGTTGTTTTCGTGGGAGCAAGCTGGCCCTCCCAGGAGTTGAAGTCTCCCCTTGGGTGGGGCGGTGTTCCTGGAAGGAGCCATCTGGGAGAGGCAGGGAGGGCGCAGGCTCTACTCACTAAGCTGCTACCCCGGCTTTGTTCAGAGCTGACACAGCACGAGAGAGCTCCCAGCTCCTGCCTCGGTCCCGGTGGGCATTGTTCCGGGCCCTTTGCTGCTGGCTGGGAGTCAGGATACTGAGGCTGTCTCCGGGCTCGCCACTGATGTGCTGGGTCATTGTGCCCAAGGCTGTTCCCCTTCCTGGGCCTCAGTTTCCTCATCTTCTACATGGAGGGTTGGAAAGGTCAGAGGTTCCAAGCGGGGGCCTGTAGTCCCCCTCTGGGTTATGCAGTGTTTTCAAATCTGGCAGCCTTCATACCAAAATTAGGATTTCTAGCTTTTCTTGAAAAACCACAGAGGTCTGGCCTTACCAGGCCAACGTCGCACAAAGCCCCCTGTGGCCTGTAGCTGGGCAGGGGCTGCCCCGTAGGTCATTTCCTTCAAGGTGTGGCCCCTGGACCTGGCAGCTCGTGACAGTGCAGACTCCCGGGCCCCACCCAGACCTTGTCACTGGGCCTGCGCTTTAACAGGATCCCCGTGCACATAAAGTTTGAGAAGAATCAATCTAGAGGGGCTCTCAACGTTCAGCTGCATCAGAGGCACCTGAAGGACCCAATTGCTGGTCTCCTCTGTCAGGGTTTCTGATTTAGGCGATCTGGGTGGGGCCCAGGAATTTGGATGTCTTACAAGTCCCAGGTGATGCTGATGCTGCTGGTCTGGGGACCACATCTGGAGAGCCCCTGGCTGGCACTCTCCCGTTAGGCTCTCTTGGCCCCCAGAGGCACGCGAGTCTGGGACCTTTGGAAGGGAAGCTGTCCAGGGCCCATCCAGAACCAGCCTGCTCTGTCTAAATCAGCCTTGTGCCCTGGCTGGGACCTAAATGCTTGCCACCCCCAGAGCGTCTGAACAGGCCATTGGATTCCTACCCGACCTCTTGGTTTTGTGACCAGGAGTCTTGTTCTTCTAGGCCAGCCACCTCCAGTTCCCGGGGGCTGTTTATGGCACAGATGGGTGTTCTGTGCCCATCGAGAGAATCGTGAACATCTTCAATGGAGCCAGCTGCCCCAGCTTGGGAGGGAAGCCCAAGCTCTTTTTTATCCAGGCCTGTGGTGGAGGTAAGCAGGTCCCACCTCCCTGCAGCAGAACCTATCAGCCCCTCACGATGTCCAAGGGGCCTCTCCAGGCGGTCAGCAGGTCCCAGACGTGCCCGAGTCTGGCTAGAGCAGGCCTTTGGAGGTGTCTTCTCTCTCAGTGCAGTAGCACCAGGGGCTCATGTTACTTTGGCTCCTTCAACCCCAGAGACTCAACAAAAATAAAAAGAGTGGAGGAGAGAGAAAAACTCCGCAGCCCTGGCCCGTGTGGCTCAGTTGGTTGGAACATCACCCTGTACACCGAGCGGTTGTGGGTTTAATTCCCAGTCAGGGTACATACCTAGGTTGTGGGTTCAATCGCTGGTCAGAGCGCGTGCGGGAGGCAGCCGATCGATGATTCTCTCTCTCTCGCTCTCTTCTCCTCTCTCTCTAAACATGTGCTCAGGTGAGGATTAAGAAAAGAAAAGAGAAAGAAAACGAAAAAACTCCTTCATTTTCCTTGTCGTCATTCTCTGACCTCCATCAGCCAGACCCCCTTTGCACTACCCCAGAGAAAGGGAGGCCAGCTTCCTGGGAGCGTTAGTGAGCCGGCCTCCCAGCTCTGCCCACCCAGACCCGTTCGCAGTCACACAGGGTCTTTGCTGTGTCTTTGGACCCCTCAGTGGGGCCTACAGGACCTTGGTGATCCGGCCCTGGGCACTTTGCCTCCCCAGCCTGGCATCCGTGCCCACCAGCCCTGTTCACCCGTCTCAGGATGTCACAGGCTCTGGACTGCTCCTCTGTCTTTCCTCTTGCCACCCTCCGCCTTGTCTCCTGGCCAGCTCTTAGCCATCCATCCTTCTGGTTACAAGTCACCGTCACCGTCTCCGGGACGTCCTCCCTAAACACCTGCTTCCGTGAGAGGGCAGGGTTAGCTGGCTCTCGTGCTCCTGTTCTGCCCGGTCACAGCACCTTCTCCTGGTGGAGGTGGCCGCGCCCCCTGGTCAGCTCTCCCAGGGCAGGGTCAGGCCTGTCTGCCCTACAGCAGGGTCCTGGCCTGGCCCAAAGCTCAGTTTGATTGCATCTTATGGGGATTCTAATTAATTGAATCTGAATTTGAAATAGAACCATATAAAAATATCTGGGAGTGAGATATGAAATAACGTAAACTCCCACCATTAAAAAACAAATCAAAACAACTCACCGGGAAGAGCGAGATTCCCGTGCTGGGATGCAGCTGCCTTTGGCCTTCCGGTCCCTGCTTAGCCCTGAGCAGGCTGCGTGACCGTGTGATTAACGCTGTCGCCACACGGGGGCAGCCTGTCAGCGGAGAACAGAAACAGAAGTGTCCGTGATCTGTGTCTGGTGGGGTGTCCTGTTTACATGCACCGGAAAGTCTGTCCTGGATTTTGGCGACTCTTACGTTGCTATTTGAAAGTTCACTGTTGTTATAATTTAAAAGCCCTCTAACACCCTTCATTAAGAGGCAGTGCGGGCACCAGGGCAGAAAAGCCAAGTCCACGTCGGTAACTTTGGTGCAGAATGTCTGTAAGTAGCATGATGCAAGGTGACAGCGTGGTGATGCACTTGGCCAAGGCTGAGTGGCCTCCCCTGGGCCGAGCTGTGAATGTCGGTGACCCGGCTCAGAATTGTGGAGGTCCTGCCGAGAGCGCAGGAGGAAGCCAGTGCGCTGCGGTGCTTGCGGATTGCACGTGCGGAGGGAACGGCTCCTCTTCCCACTGCCGTTCCCGCTGGTGGGCATCTCAGTCCTGCCTCCCAGGGAGCTTTGGCCCATCGAGGCTCCCGAAGAACGAAGCTGTGCACCCGGTGCAGGACCCTGGAGCTAGGCCTTCACGGCCGATCCGTAGGAGGAGGAAGACGCGTGACTGGACCCGGCTGGCATCCCCCATATGACACTCTTTTCCCCCATCGTCCCCTCTCGGGTCCTAGTCTCTGCTCCGTTATTCACAGGTAGTCCCTCTGCCACCCCGTCGCCTTAGGCCATTCTTAAGTCACCTCCCACTGAAGCGCCCCTCCCGTGCTGACCAGCAGCGCCTCACAGTCCCATCTGGCCCCTCCCCCTTCCACGGAAGGCATTCCAGGGCCTGGGGCCGATGCCAGAATCCCAGCCAAGAAAATAACCAGAAGCAGTGACCTGAGTCAGCTGTGGTCTACTTGCACACATCTCGGAAGCTCCCTTGCAGGCTTGGGGCCCCTGTGGAGTAGAGCAGGGGGTTGAGAGACAGGACGATAGAAGGCAGAATCCTGGCCCCTCACGTGACAGATCGCCCAGGTTCTGAGCTTCAGCTGTGCGGGGTGAGAGGTCATGGAGGTTGGAGTTATTATGATGGGGTTGCCAGACCATCCCTGTCTCCTCTTTGGCTCCTGCAGATGGATCCCAGCTTCCCTGGGTGAACTGTGACCTCTCTCCCTCCTTGCTGTTTCCCACCGTGGATCCAGCCACGCACACTGCCTGCTGTCCTCCCTGTGGGCCTGCCCGGCCGGTGCCGTTGTTCCCACCGGGACTGTTCTGTCTCACATCGGAGGCTGGGTCCCAGCCCTGCTCCAGAAACCCTCCCCCAAGGGACCCTCTGGCCTCTCCCCCTCTGCCTGTTTTTTTCTGAAGCCCTTTTCAGCGGCCTTCTTTCTGTGACTGGCTTGTTTTACTTTGCATAGTGTCCTCGAGGTCCATCCCTGCTGTAACCTGTATCAGAATTTCCTTCCTTTTTTAAGGCTGAAATAACGTGACTTGTTTTTTTAATGACATAAAATTTGCTATTTTAACCTTATATTTTTGTTAATCCTTACCAGAGGATATTTTTCCATTGAGTTTTTAAATAGAGTGGAAGAGAGGGAGAGAGAGAGAAACATCGATGTGAGAGACACGCTGATTGGCTGCTTCCCACACGACCCTGACTAGGTCCGGTGATCAATTCTGCAACCCAGGTATGTGCCCTTGACCAGGAATCAAACCCGAGACCCTTTGGTCCAAGAGCTGCTGAGCAAAACCAGCTAGGGCTATTTTAACCATTTAATTTATTTGTTTATTTTTCAATTCTGAGGACTTTTTTTTTTTTTAATTTGTCTTCAGATAGAGTGAGAGGGAGGAAGAGAGAGACTTCGACGTGAGAGGGACACCTCGACTGGCTGCCTCTCACATGTCCCCAACCAGGGTTGGCGATGAACCGCAACCGAGGTACATGGCCTGGACCGGAATCAGAACCGAGACTCATTGGTCCATGGGCTGATGCTCTAACTGCTGAGCCAAACCGGCCAGAGCTATTTTAACCATTTTAAAGTATACAGTTCAGTGGCATTAAGTACATTCGTATCGCCACTATCTAATTCCAGAACTTTTTCATCACCCCAAAAAGAAACTCCATACCCATTCCTGCCTTCTCCCAGCCCCTGGCGACCACTAACCTGCCTTCCTCTCTGTGGATTTACTTGTTCTGGACATTTCAGAGAAAAGGAATCATATCATGAGGTCTTCGGTGCCTGGCTTCTTCCATTTAGTGGGCTTTCAAGGTCCGCCCCCATGTGCGCTGGACCAAGACTTCAGTCCTTTCAAGCCTGAGTACGATTCCATCGCATGTGTCTGCCACATTTTACCTGTTGACCTGTTGATGGACACTCGGGTGGTTCCACCGTTTTCCTGTTGCGAGTGATGCTGCTATGAACCTTTGGGTTCATGGTTTTGTTTGGACACTTGTTTTCAGGTCTTTGGCGTGTATACCTTGTATCTTTTTAAAGCTGTTTTTTTTTTTAAATCAATACATTTTTAAAATTTATTTTTTTAACTTATCTCTATTGTTGAATGTATTACAGATGTTTCCTCCGCCTTTTTCCCCATTGACCCCCCTCCTCTTTGCTTCCGCCCACCCTTGCCTTCCCCACACTGCTGTCTGCGTCCACTGGTTATGCACATATGCACAGACGTTCTTTGGTTTATCTCTTCCCACCCCCGATCCCTTCCGTGCTATTTCTTTAGGTACAGATTCTTGTTTTCCAGCCGTGGCTGTGGCTTTGGGCACTTTCTCCATGTGATTTCAGCGCTACTTCCAGGATTCCATCTGGACCATCCCAAGAATTCTGTCCTATGAATTATGACCATGTAGCTGTTTTTGAAATTTCTGCATTTTTCCACCCTCCGCCCCCAAAGTTTACTTAATGAATGTGTAAAACCTGTTGTAGACAAAAGGGAACTTCTGTTTCGGTTTCCTACTCGTGTGTGCCCTGCACCGGGACCCTGCTCTAGAGGGAACCGGGTGGTCTTGGGTTGGGGACAGGCTACGTGGGGCAGCAGCTCTGTGTGTCTCAGTGACAAGTGCTGTCTGTTTCTGCTTCCTGCAGAGCAGAAGGACCATGGATTTGAGGTGGTCTCCGCTCCCCCCGAGGACAGGGCCCCGGACAGCACCCCTGAGCCAGACGCGGTCTCGTTCCAGGACGAGCCAGGCAATGACGACCAGCCGGATGCTGTGTCTAGTTTGCCCACCCCAAGTGACATCTTTGTGTCTTACTCCACTTTCCCAGGTGAGTGCACCAGCCAGTGGGCCCCTCATCTGTCCTAGAAGCAGTGTGTTGTGGAAAAAACACACCTGGGAGTGAGTCTTGGTTCTGCCTCTTGCCACCTGTGTGACTCTGAGCCCGTTCCTTCCCCTCTCTGAGCCTCGGGTCAAGGCCGGCGAGACGCCGAGGATACACAATTTAAGGGAGCACGCACCCTTGGGCTTGTGTGCCGCACCTCGTCCTGGCCTCTCCTCAGTCTCCTCGTCTTTGAAGTGGGAATAATAATCATACCTCGGGGGTTGTCTCGGGGGTTGTCAGGGTGGCTGGCACATCACAGGGCCTGGGCATAGCTGGTGGGACAGGGGTTAGTGTCCTTCCTTCCTTGTCCCTCAGGGGAGTCACTTGACTTCTCCGAGCCTTGGTTTCCTTGGTGGAAAATGGGAATTGTAACCAGCAGCACGAGGTGCCGGTAAAGATGAAGTAAGATCGCGAGTGGGGCAGCGCAGAGAGGAGGCCGCTCCTGCCAGCGTGGCGGCCCGAGTCCGGAGGCGGCCCTCCAAGCTCAGCCCTCCTCCTCCCGCAGGCTTTGTCTCCTGGAGGGACACCAAGAGTGGCTCCTGGTACATCGAGACCCTGGATGGCGTGTTTGAACGGTGGGCTCACTCTGAAGACCTGCAGAGCCTCCTGCTCAGGGTGAGCCCCGCCCGCCGGGAAGGCGGGAGCCTGGGTGGGGCGGTGGGGGAGCAGGCAGACCACGGTAGAAGGTGGTGAGACCCCATCTGCTCCCGCGCCTTGGCTGGCCACGAGTCAGTGCTTTCGCTTCTCGAACTCGAGATGTTACTGCCTGGGGTGACATTGGTCCCTATTCCAAGGGCCATCATCCTCAGCTTCCCTGAGGTCCCCAGGCTGACACCTTCCGCTCCCCCCTTGACGGAGTCGGTCCTCAGCACCAGGGTTGGCCCGCTTGGTGTACAGAGCATGGCATTCCCAAAGGCAGGTCGCGGGGCTGCCCCTGTGCCCTGGCCCCACTGCACGGTCATGAGTCCTCTTTAGGATGTCCCCTTGTCAGGGGGCCCTAGTGCGAGAACAGGAAGGAGGGCCCAGCAGTGCCCCCGCCTCGCTGAGCGAGATCCCGCTCAGGCCAGGTGCTTCCTCCACGGGCCCCAGAGCACACGTGCGTCCGTCCTGCTCTTGCCCAGGTGTTTTGGGCCATGAGAAGGGGCTGTCTGGGCCGGACCTCTCCTTTCTTCTGTGGAGGCTCTGGGTCCGCTTTGCTGAGCAGAGTGGAGAGGAAAAGCCAAGGCAGGGCCCCCACATGCCACGGCCCTGGGCCGGTGCGGGTGGGCCTGGGCTCCGCCAGGGCCCAGAGGTACACTCAGTTCCTGGGCCCATCGCTTCTCTGACGTTGTCTTCAAGCAAACCTTTCGATCTGATTTGCACCTGGTAAATTTTTGAATTTGGAAATTTTGAATTCCGAGTTTTCTTAACTTATGGTTGACATGCATGTTCTTTAAACCTCCCCAGCCCCCAAGGAGGCTGCCGTTAGAGCCAGTTACAAGTGGACGTCACTCAGGGGACATTCCGCCGGCCCCTCTTCCACCCCGGAAATGGGTCGCGGGAACTCACAGAGCTCCCCGTGCTCCTGTCTCCGCAGGTCGCTAATGCTGTTTCGGAGAAAGGGGTTTACAAACAGATGCCTGGGTGTTTCAATTTCCTCCGGAAAAAACTCTTCTTTAAAACTGAATGAAGCCAGGGCCCCCGACCCTGCCTTACCTTTCACCCCCAAACCTTCTGCTGCCCCCGGGCCGATGGGGGCCTGTCTTGCCTTCAGCTATGGCTGTCACGTGTTGAAGGAACTTGTAGCCTGTTGGAGGTCTGCTGTTTCTCCGCTGGCGGCCCACAGGCTCTTCACAGCTTCCAAAGTGGAGACATGACCACGGTGGAGGAAGAGGAGAGCGGACGACGTGTGGCTGCCTGGTGCCCGGCTAGGGACTGTCTGTGACCCTTGTATTTTCTCTAGAGCAGGGCTTCTCAGCCCCGGCACCATGGACACGTGGCCAGACCATCCTTTGCTGGGGTGCGGGGCCGGCCTGTGCACCGAGGGACGTTTACAGCCTCCCTGGCCTCTGCCCACTAGGCGCCGGCAGCATCCGCCCTGAGCGGTGCCAACCAAAGACGCCTGCAGATGCTGCCACTTGTGGCCTGGTGGGCCCCACGTGAGAACCACTGAACTGTGGGAGTTCTTCTTTTAGCTACAAGCAAGCCAGCATCTCTCTTAGATCAGCAAGTTTGGGACTGCTGGGGTCCGGACAGCTCTCTGTGAATCTTAAATGAAGTCTTAGAATTTACTAATTTTTCCTGTATTTCAGTATTCTGAAAAAATAAACCTTAGCCCTGGCTGGTGTGGCTCAGTGGTTGGAGCATCGGCCTGCACACCAAAGGGTCTCAGGTTCGATTTCTGGTCAAGGGCATGTACCTGGGTTTCAGGTTCCATCTCTGGCCCTGGTCTGAGCACATGAGGGAGGCAACCAATCGGTGTGTCTCACATCAATTTTTCTCTCTCTCCCCCTCTCCTTCCCCCCTCTCCCTCCTCCTCCTTCCCTCCCTCTCTTCCACTCTCTAAAATCAATGGCAAAAATACCTCCGGTGAGGATTAACAAAAATATCTTAGGTAGATATGGACTCTTTTTTGCCTCCCCCCCTCTTTGTTCTTTCTTATAAAGGAGACTTTTGCCTTTTTTGTAATATTTCATTGGGTCCCCATGCCCACCCCATCCCAGGAGGTACTGGGGTGGGAACCACGTGCTCAGGGAGGTCAGGTGGCCTGTCCAGGGCAACACTTAGCCAGTGGAGAGACCTGGCCAGACCCGGGTCTTGCGAGTCAGCCTGTGTCCCCAGATGCCTTCCTGGCCGAAGGACCCGGCACCGCAGGGCGACCATGCTGTGGGACAGTGAAATGCTGGGCTTCCCCAGACAAGGCCCCCACCCTGAAGCCTTTTCAGCGATTCTGATCTGGCCTCTGTCTTGCTTAGAACCCTGGACGTGAGGACGTTTTGCTAATAAGACTCTCACCCAGACGTGATTTCTGTAGTTGTCACTTTATTATTTCCCTCTGGGACCTTTCCGAGTCTGAAGCAGTTCTGGGAACTTCTGGTGGTTAGTTATTTTTAATCACCTGCGGGACACACACAAGACAACCACCAGGTTAACCGGGCAGAGCAGAGGGCTGTACTGGGCAGCGTGCTGGCTTCCCGCCTCCAGGCTCCGTGCTGCTCAGGTCGGCCGGAGGCGGCCGTGACGGAGAGCCCTCGCCCAGGAGCCCCGGTGACATCCGGGAGAAGGTGATGTCACCAGCCGTTCACCGACCCGCCAGGGGAACTCCTACAACTTCTATGCTTTTTGGTTTCATTGGCTTCTCAAAGGGTTTGCTGCCCTGCCTGCGGGAGGGCTGTAACCTGTTTCCGGAGACTGCAGCAGTTTTCTCCGTGGTCCTGAGATGCTGTTGGGTCTCCACAGCACAAATACACAAGCAGCGTGCAAGAACGAGCCCCAGGATGTTCGTTGCAGCAGCGTGCGAGTGGGAAATGAACCGGGTGAAAGCTTCGTTCATTACATCCACGCTGTGGAATATTACTTAGCTGTTCAAAAGAATGCCACAAGTGTGCGTGCTCATGTGTAAAATGTGATGTGGTGTTAAGTGAAAAAGCTACGTCGCAGAACAATGTGAAGAGTAAAATCCTATTTTTGGTTAGAAGACAGCGTGTAGAATGTACATAACAGAGTCCAGAAGACAACACTGTTGGCAGTGAAGATCTCTGGGGGGGACTTGTACTTTTTTACTTGATATACTCCTATATTCTTTTAAGGATTTTATAAAGTGTATTATTACCTTCTAAAGTGAAAATAAAAATAAAGTGGTGAATGCCGAAGATTCACGTGTTGCTGTTGTTCAATGGACAGTTGTTGAAAAGAGGAATATCCCCGGCCACCTGTCTCCTCCTGTCGCTTTCCTGCTCCTGCCTCTCCGTGGCAGCTTCCTGAGCGCGACTTGACACCTGTCTGGGTTTGTCTGCGCAGGTGCTCCTGGCGCCTGTGTGACTCCAGGCGTGCTGCGGGGCTCAGGCCACTGTAGGGGTTCACTAGCCCCTCTGCAGCTGCCGGGCAGCCTCCACCACAGGACAGCTGGTTGCTTGGCTCTGCCACTCCTGGAACCCTCTGCCAGGCATATGCGGCTGCCCTGGCTGCCGTCCCGGCAAACCCAGGACCTCTGCCTAGCAGCCTCGGAAGGCTCCCTTTCCCCGTTGATCCCCTCCGACACCTGGCCATGCTTTCGGCTGTGGCCTGCTCTGTTGTGCTTGTGTCTGTCCCTGGGAACAGCTGATGCTGGGACAAAAAAAATCAGGCCAGTTGCCCCTGGCCCCTGCTTTGGGGCCTCAAGGTGCTGCCATGACCAGCTGCACAGTGACCCACGCAGCAGCCCGGGCTGGGAAAGGGTCCTAGGATTTGTCTGGGGCCAGGCCTGTGGGCATCCTTCTGTCCAGTCAGTCTCGGGCCATTCTTTGAAATGCTGGTGACATTTTTGCCAAGATGGAATCGTGGCTTTCCCCCAGTTTACCCCAAACAAAACACAAACAAAACCCTACAAACGAACAGCCACTCTCTTCCTGATTGACATTGTTCTCCGACAAACTTCTGCGGGTCTCTGCTGCCCGTGACCACCTGTTGGCAAAGACGTGCCAGCAGGCAGATGGCTGAGCAGGGAGCTGGCGAGTGTTAAAGGGAGACTCAGAGGCAGCCACCGGCTCCCATCGACAGCGCCCACGTGACACTGCAGTTTCCCCCGTGGCCTCACGCTCATGGCCGTGGCTTCATGCTGGATTTTATAACGGGGTGTCAGGTGGAGTCAGTTGACTAGCTCTCTGAAAACTAAACTAATGGAATCAGATGCCAGTTCCCGCTCTTTGGGGCTCTGCCATAAACACCCAGCTCCCACTTGCTCTGGCCCCTGAACACGTGGAGGAGTCCCGGCCTCGTTCAAGTCCCATTTTACAGAAGAGCAGACTGAGGCGGGGGTGATGCCAGGAGGTGGGTAAAGGGGGCCCCGGACGGGCTCAGGCACAGTGCCTCCTCCTCGGTCCCCTGCGCCCCCCGGCTCCCCGGCTTCTGGTGATGACTCTCCCTGTCGGGGCTGCTTAGACTTGCTGCTGATTACAACCATGGCTTGTCCCAAGACTGGTGCCAGTTTGTAAAACATAAATTGTATGGTCTTTTTTACAAATATGTGTTCTTTGTTAAAATGGAATTGAGCTGGTGTGGAAGCTTATGAGGTACTGGTTTTGAGCTCCCAGGAGACAGCTCTCTGGGGAGCCATTCACAGGAATAGTGGGACCAGCTCAGCCCCACTGGCCTGGGCTGTCCCAATCTAAAATGTAAAGTCCTACATCCCAAGGAACATTCCAGTCCCATGCAAACCTAACGGTTGTCACCTACCATCTGCACTTGGGGACCCTTTAGGGAGAGTCATATCCAATAATTAAGGCTGTGTGTGTGGGGGGGGTCTCAACCTATCAGAGTTGGGGCTTTGAGATAAATACTCTGAAAGCACTGGGTGGTGGGGTCTGGGCTTACACACAGATAATAATAATAAAAAAATACCCCACGAATTCTGAGCAACCCACTGTGAATGCTGGAGGAGTGTCCTTTGTTTTCAACCTCTTTGGACAGGGCCACCCGCTATGCGCCTTTGGACTCAACTTTATCCACACAGGACTGCTCAGGTCTGCAGCCTCCTCTAGGGGCTCTGGCCTGGCTCTCAGGAGGAAGGAGGGGGGTTCTTAAACCCCGGGTGGGCATCGTCCCCTTGGGGCCAGGTCAGAAGGGCGCGGCCGGTTCTTACCGAATTGATCCAGTCAATGTAGTTGGAGACCCGAGTGAAGACAGAGGGCTTGTGGTAGTAGTTGCAGCCAAGGGTGGACCCGAAGCTGACCACGCCGTGCACCTCCCACTGGCCGTTGGCCTTCTGGCAGTTCAGTGGTCCTCCAGAGTCTCCCTGAGGGAGGGGCTTCTGTCAGGGGGGAGCTAGGAGCTTGGGCGGGTGATGGGAGGGGAAGGGGCTGCCCATCAGAGACCCATGTTTCCCATGTTTGCAGTAGATTTATATTGTATGTCCTCTGACCAGCCCCTGTGGTCGCAGCTCAAGATGGCACCGTAATCCCAACAAGAACTAGCATGTATTCTTTCTGTGTGCCTGGAGCTGAGCTAAGCCTTCTCTGCACTTGATCTCATTGAATCCTCACTGGAACCTAGTAGGTAAGGATTGTCAGTGTCCCCATTTCACTGAAGAGGAAACACTGAAGCCCTCAGAAGCTGTGACCGGCCTGAGGAGGTGCAGGCAGTAAGTGAAGGAGCCGAGACTGCGTCCCACAGTTGGAATGCTGGGTGCTCAACCACCACCGGCCGTTCCCACCCACGAGGAGGGACCTTCTCAGGGGCCAGTCTGCAGGGTGACAGAGTGTGTAGGGCACAGTGTGATCATAAGGACATGATCTGTCCTCACTCTTCTGCAAAGTCCACCTCATAGCAATTCCTTTTGGTTAAGACACTGTCCCCAGGAAGGCTCTGTGGCAGCCAATATAAAGGGACACACTGGGCCATTAATGGGATTAACTCAACAGATAAACTTGAAGTCACCTTAGAAAGGTCCTAACCCACAGAATACATCCCCTGGGCTCCCTTCCTACACAAAGAGAATAAGAGAGATGACGGTAATGAGAGACCCCAATGAGACCCAAGAAAGCACTTCCCAGCAGTGACGGGGGGGGTGGATGCTACGAGAAACATCTCTTCTGGAGACTACAAGGACAAAGGTCAGGGTCTCAAATGTTGAGCTATTTCCCGGTGCTTCAGCTAGCAGGCAGGAGAATAGATTTTAGGACCCCTGGGAGACTCTTCTCACCCCCAGTCCCATTTCATTGTGGAGGGGCAGCACCTGACCTCCCGCACTCACATTGCAGCTGGAGATGACACCGTCACCACCAGCACAGATCATATTGGTCTTCACGGAGCTGCCCCACCAGCCAGGGCTGGAGCACGTGTTGTAGTCCACTACCAGCAGCTTTCCCTGCTGCAGGATGTCAGGAAGAGCCCCGTTGGCTGCATGAGAGCAGAGAGAAGGCGTTACAGGGACAAAGGGACTCCTGAGAATAAAGGAAGTAGTAGACACCTACTGGGTTTTCTGCCCAGCTCTCTGTTCTGGTCACTCTTCCTTCCCTTTCATCCACGGTTGCAGTGGGAGCAGCCATGCTTGTCCATGCCATGTCCTCACTGTTGATTGGTTCAGGGGTGGACATCTGACTCAACCTAAGCCAATGAGCTCCCAGTATTTGGACCTGCCCCTGGTTCTCGCTGCCCTGGTGTTTTCTGGGTAAATGAACAAGAGGCTGTGCTGTGTCTTGATAAGCATGAGATGCCTCCCTTGCTTCCCACTTCTGCTGAGTTTCCATGTGTCCTTGTTCTTGCACACAAGTCAGTCAAGAACGCCATATTAATCTATTTGAGTGCGTGTGTACTGATGTACCTCTGGAAAAATATATCTCTTAAAACTAACAGGTTTATGTCAGTATGAAAGGAACAATCACCGGCATGAACCTTCCTAGGGTCTTTCAAACCTTGGTGATACGACAAGGGAAGGACAGGGCTTCTGTTTCTTCTTGATGGCCTAATCATCACTGGATTTCTGACCCTTGAGGTTTATGTCAAAAGGAGACTCACACCAAGCCAGGCTCTGAGCAGTAAAATCAGGTGGCACACGGGACAGGTTTTGATGTGTGAAGAGGAGGGTGTGGTAGGGCCCCAGGGACATTTGTGGAACCCCGGAAACCTGAAGTCACAGAGGGAATACTGTTCTGGACTCTGACCTTGGGCCATGCAAAGGAACTACTTTGCCAGATGTCATGAAGTCACTGTTACCTTCATTCTGTCAGTGACAGTGACAACTAACACACTGCACCTACTATGTGCCAGGCACTGGCCTAAGTTCTTCCCATGGGTTATCCAGTCCACTTCACAGTCCCTGTGATGTAGGTGCTGTTATTATTCCCATTTCACAGCCGAGGAGACTGCAGCATGGAGAGGCTAAGTAACGTACCCAAGGACACACCGCTAGTAAGTGGAGGAGCTGGGGTCGGAGCCCTGGCAGTCTGACTGCTTTCTGGTCTCTGCTATCCTGCCTCTCCAAGGCAGTCAGCACTTCTTCCAGACACCCCGGGATGATGAGTGTGGAGAGAGCCCCTGGCTGGACACGAGTGACATTGCCTCCCTCCCTCTCAAGCCTTGGGGCTCCCGGCACCACTTACTCTGTAGCCTTCCCCAGCCTGTGACGTAGCAGATGGAGTTGTTGGGAAGGATGCTGCCTGCAGGAGGGAGGCAGCCCAGCTGGATCTTGTCACTCAGGGGGACGGGACTGGCCAGTTTGAGCAGGGCAATGTCGTTCCTGGGTTGGCAAAGACACAGCATAAAGAGAGGGTTGACTTCCTGTGCTAATTTTGTTTCTGACCTAGCCCCCCACTGGAACCACTGAATCCCCTCCTTAGCCAGCCTGACTGTGACTCTTCCTTCCGCTGGGGCTACGAGGGACTGGGGAGCAGCTGTGGTTAGACCCCGGGTTGCATTTTGTCCCTGGTGGAGCTTGGAGCCCTATATTCCCCTGAGGACCTTTCAGGGGATACTGAGAACGGGGCGGTGGGCGGGGGCAGGCAGGTTTTGTTTTGCAACGTCCTCTCGGATGGGTTAGTCGTGGCTGCCTGGTGGGCTGTGTTGACAAGGTTCTGTTCCGGATCAGCAAGGAAATATATCCAGATTGCTTGGTGGTGTCTGTCCTGACCATATACATCCTGTGTTCAGTTAGATAATGGCAGGACATGCTCAGATGGAAAGGCCTTTTGCCTTTCCTCTCCCCTTCACCTCGAGTCTGCCCCACGGTTTGTCCTAAGTCTCACACTCTTGTCTAGGAAACTGTATTTTCCATCATGGCTGCCGTGAGCTCTCCCAACCCACAGGCACTTGTTACCATGTGATGTAGACACTCGGGCCATCAAGAGGTGGGGTCTGGCCCTGGCCGGTTTGGCTCAGCGGTTAGAGCGTCGGCCTGCGGTCCGGAGAGACCCGGGTTCGGTTCCCGCTAAGGGCACGTACCTCGGTTGCAGTTTGTCCCCGGCCCTGGTTGGTCGTGTGGATGGCAGCCACTCGATGTGTCCCTTCACATCGATGTTTCTCTCTCTCTCTTCCTCCCGCTCTATCTGAACAAAAAATGGAAAAATGTCCTCGGGTGAGGATTAAAAAAAAAAAAGAGGTAGGGTCTGGGTTTCTTCCCCCTGGATTGGGAAGGGGGCCCCAGGGGCCTATAATGTGGAGGAAGAGACACCAGATGACTTTTGCGACTAGGTCACGAGAGGAGATGCGGCTTCTGTCTGGTCCCCCTGGACTCCTGTTCTGGGAACCCAGGCTCTGTGCCGTGGAGAAGCCCAGGCCACACAGGGAGCCCATGAGCGGAGGATCTGGACAGCATTGCCAGCCGACAGCCAGCATCAGCCCCCCTTCCCCAAGCACACATGTGAGGGAGGAAGCTTCATGAGACGCCCCGAGTGCCAACTGCCCAGCTGAGCCCAGTCAGGCCATGAGAGAGAATCCTAACGAGTGATTGTCGCTGTTTTAAGCAATTAAGTTTTGGGGTGATTTGTTTTACAGCAAGAAATAACCAGAAGAATGACACCCATATATCGGATAGATAGTCAAGGTCCGTGGGGTTGATGGCCTTCTCAGTTCTAACACACATTCTTGGCCATCTCTCCCATAATCCTTTTCACTTACCCTCCATTCCCGCTGGGCTGCTCTGGTCACTGCCCCAGAACCCCCTGCCTGCTCCGTGACCCATCCCTCATCCTGGCGGTTCTTTCTGCCCACTCATGTCCTCCCATCTCTCGAGGCCTTCCTGTATACGGCCTGTGTCGTTTTACGGCTTTCCAGTATCATGCATGTGTGTCCCGCCTAGTGACAAGCCCTTTGAGGACAGGGACCCCTCGTGACTCACGGACCCCTGCATCCTCTGGGAGCCACCTTCAGAGCTGGAGCCCAGCAGACTGGCTGGCTGAACCAACACCCAGTGTTATGCCACAGGGCCTGCTCCGTGGCGCGGTCACGAGGAGCCTTCCGGGAGGTTTGGCAGAGTGACCTCTCCGGATAGCCATTCAGAAGTGGCCTCTAGGGCTGCAGAAGAGACTGCGCATGTGCACACATTATGCGAATGTGAAGCCGAGGCCCTTCTGGAACAGCAGACCCGCTCTTTTGGATTGGGTGGGAGGGGATGACGGACATCTCGGGCTCTGGGAAGGGGCTGGGGAAGGGAAGATAACTTCCGATCTCCAACGGGCAGATGACAACAACGATGACAAGAGTGCGTGGAAGGACTGCTAGGCTACGCTGTCTGCCAAATCCTCACGCCTCATTGAATGTGCTTTCTAGATCTGTTCGCTTCGGGCAAGTTCCTTCGCTTGCCTAGGTCGTGGTTTCCTCATCTGTGAAATGGGAATAACAGCACCTCCCTGCTAGGGAGGTGGTGAGGAATCAGCCAGAAAATACGTGGGGAACATTTGGCGCAAGGGAAGCTCTGAGTGTGAGTTCGTACGATTGGAAGAACTCGCTCCTGGGGTTGGCGGAGCGCTCACAGGAAGGGCGCCCTGGACTGCGTGTTCTGGAGGATTGCAGATCCCTGGCGTCCCTGCCTGGCTCCATGGCCGGGATGGACACCGTTGGTCACTGGGCTGCCTATGCTTGTGGGGTCAGAAAGGGGAGCTTCCCCAGCTGCAATGAGCTGCTCAGGTTTAGGCATTACCCCAAACCTCATGGGGCTGGGGACCTGGGGTGTCTCACTGACCGCTGTTTCCTAGGTGCCTAGGGCAGGGCCTGGCACATAGTAGGTGCTCAAAAATATTTATGGAATGAGGTGTGAGTGAACCTATTGCTCTGAATTTTGTTTGGGACCACCTGGATCGCAGGATCAGTGATCACAGAAGAAGCCTGATGGCCCAGTACCTATTCTCTCCCTCCTGTGTGCCCCTCCCCAGGATGAATCAGGCACAGCCCAGCTCCTGCACAATCCTGTCTAAAAGGGGAATCAGTCAGGAGCTGATTACTAATGCAGCAAACTAAGCGCTGTCAAGGGGAGGCCCAGGTAGGGGCTGGGTGGAGATTTAGGGATGAATCAGGTACAGCCCAGCTCCGGAGAGCAGAGACAGGCAGGGGTGAGTGGTAGATTCTGCAGGGGACCTTTTTAAAAAATCCTCACCCCAGGATTTATCTTCAGATAGGGTGGGAGGGAGAGAGAGAGGGAGAGAAACATCGACGAGAGAGGGACACATCGATATGTTGCCTCCTGCATGATCCCGACCAGGGCTGGGGACGAACTGAAACCGAGGTCCATGCCCTTGGTCAGAATCAAACTCGTGACTCATGGGTCTGCAGGCTGACACTCTACTGCTGAGCCAAACCGGCCAGGGCAGGGGGACCTTTTCTTTCAGCACTTTCTCCTCCTCGCCTTCCCCAGGAAGCCAGGACCACCTGCCCCCCAGGCCCTTTTCTAAGTGCTTTACACACACGATCTCATTGAGTCCTCTCAACAACCCTAGAGGTAGGCACTGTTATTATCCTTATTTTACTAAAGAGGAAACTGAGGCACAGAAAAGCTGAGGAACTTGTTCAGGCTCCAGAAGCTCAATTCCTAACCCCTGCCCCACTGCCCCACTGCCCCACTGCCCCACTGCCCCACTTATGCCCTTGAGCTACCTGAGAGCTGGTGTGGCGACCTGTGCATTCTTGTGTGTCCAGCACCCAAAGTCCAGTGCCCAGCATGGCATATGGCACATGGGTGGGTCAGTAAAGGCTTAGGGGTGGGCACAGGATGGCATCGAGTCATCCAAGAGAAAAAAAGGGAGGGGCTGTTGTCGTTTGCCTGTAAGGTGGGGATAACGACCGGTGGGCTTGGCAGAGCTCTGAGACCTTGTCATCTTCCTGTGTCTATTACCCCAGCCTGCACCTGCAGGTGTCAGGGGAGCTTTGAAAATGTAGAAGGCCTTGTTGGGTGGGGGACAGGGTGGGGCAAGGCAAGAGGCACTGTGTTTTACTCCACTGACAGTCGAGGGGCCCGCAGACCCATCCCTGTGTCCCCAGGGCTTGGCACGGAATAGATACATGGTCAGTGGGTACCTGGGGTGCACAGGGGATCTACAGGCTTCATGGCGAGGAGACCCAGGTGGCCCCGACAGTCTTTTCCTCTCTCTCCGCCCTGTTCTTACCCTCATCCCAGGCATCTCTGGGGCTGGCTCTACTTCTAAAGGTCAGAGCTCCTTCTCCCTCCCTACAGAAGCAGCAAAGAGGGGGTACCTTCTGCGAGACACCCTCCTGTCTGTGCCCCTGCCGACCCCACCCCCACGTGCACCCAGACGGAAGGTACCCTTTGGAGAGCTGGCTGGAGTTCCAGTCCTTGTGCACCACGAGCTTGGAGACCTTGACTGCCAGGGAGCCACGCTCATCCGTGGAGAGGCTGTGCCGGCCCAGCACCACGCGGTAGGTCCTGGAGGAGCTGGGAGGAAGGGAGTCAGGTGGAGAGGGTCAGCCCCTGGCTGTCCCCTCCTCTCTCTGCCCCCCCCTACCCCCACAGGCAGGGACACCTCAATGCACGGTTTCCAGAGGCCTGGCTTTGGATAATGCTGGGATGGGCCCAAGTCTGCCATTAGTTGGCACTTGGAAATTTTTCTTCCCTGGGGCAATTGGTTAGTTATAATATAAGATAATGACTAAAACAATAGAACAATTATAACTGCACTATACTAACGATAAACTACAATGTAAGTTATAATAATGTAAGCTCTGTTACTATGGGGGAGATGAGATGGACACGGAACACAGCTGTCTTCTGCCCTCAAGGGCATTTTTTCATTTAATCTCCCCACCTCTCATTTTTAGATGGGGAAACTGAGGCTCAGAGAGGCGTGCCTGGTCAGAGTTTTACAGCTAATTAGTGAGAATCCAGAACTAGAAGCCAGGACTGCTGACTCCTAGGCCTCTGTTATCCCCCCCACCTCATAAAACTTATAAATTAGGGGAGGAGAAGGGACCCCTCCTAGCAACCAGAGTCACACCGACCCAAGGGAAACTTCACTGAGCACCTGCTGGGGTGAGATAAACAGAGGTCTTATGTAGGGAGGGGAAAAGACAGGCGAACAATGAATGTCACAGAACATTTTCTTCCCCTGTGAGCCTTTATGACAGAAACAGTTCACTTTCACTGAACACTTACTAAGTGCCAGGCCCTTGTACGCATCATTTAATCTAATCCACATTAAATTCTGTTATCTGCATTTTTTGCAGGTGACTTTTTGAGGTTTGAAGGAATCATTCAAGTTACTCAAGGGAAACCAATTCCAGATCCGGGGGCCACATCTAGTACCCCAAGGCGGCAGGAAATGGGCCTCCCCCCCTCCCATGCCCGCTCAGTGTCTAGCACAAGGAGCTCAGGCCACATTATGTTTCGGCCCATCAGCTGCCCAGCAGACTGAACTAAGGGCCGACTGAAGTTTGTCTCTTGGCCAGGCGAGTGGATATTTGCAAGGCTCCTTTCTACAGGGTGGTTCAGGGCACTCGGGCTCCCGCTCAGAGATGAACCCTGGCCGGTGGTGGGAGTGTGCTGGGAACAGCACTTACCTGATGCAGTGGGCAGCTGTCAAGACCCAATTTTGGGCCACCAGGGACCCTCCGCAAGTGTGGCGCCACTGGCCTTTGGAGTTGTACTGCAGGGAGACCTGGGGAGAAGTGTGGGTGTTCTGGTAGCCGAACGAGCCTGGCCTCTCGGCTCTTAGCCTCCCATCCCCGAGGGCAGGGCTAGGGCAAGGCACACGAGGCCCTCGGCTCAGGTGCAAAGTGTGAGGGGCACCAAGAAACTCAGTAATCACGATAAATGACATTTGAATGCACAAAAAATCCGTGTTTCTTCTTTGCCCAGACCCTCCAGTGGCTCCCCATTTTACACAGTGTAAAATTAAAAACTGTACAAAGGCCTGCAAAGCTCCACATGACCGCCCTGACCTCCTCAGCTCCCACTCCTCTCTGCTGTAGCCGCGCTGGGCTCTGGGAGGTTCTGCAAAAATACACCAAGCCCACTTCTGCCCCAGGGCCTTTGCACTTGCTATTCCTCCTGCCTGGAATATTCTTCTCCCAGCTATCAGCATAGTTTTCTCCTTCACCTCCTACAGGTGTGTAGTCAAGGTTACCCTCTCCAAGAAGCCTCTATGACTACCCTGCACACACATACATGCACGCTCATGTCCACACATGCACACATGGACACACATGTGTATGGCTAGTTGGGTGGGGCGGCTCCTTATTGCAGCTGCAGAAGGTACCTCTTTCTCTACCCTCCAAGGGTCACCAAGGCCATAGAAATGTATGTTATTGGTGAATTTTCCCATCTTCGTCCATGCACTAGACTCATGGTGGAGGGCAAAGGGGTGATGTGAGGGGGCGGGGGCAGGGAGGGAAGAAGTGGGGTGTGGGTGACTCACCTGCCAGGGCCAGCTGTTGGGCCGCACATCTTCCCCTCCCACCACCCTGGGCAGATGGGGCAGGTAGACGGGAAGCCCACAGCTGAGAGCTAGGAAAAGAGAAAGGAGGTTGAGTCCAGGAAGCAGTGACCCAAGTAATGTAACCTACACTTGTTGCATTCCCAAATTCCAAAGAGAAAATCCTGTTCTAGAAGGATCCTGAGAGGTCACAGAACCCTGCCCTTTGCTCCACTTCTTTGGAATGTCACTCTACCGTTCTTACACCCAGAGGACTGAGTCCCGCGGGGGCAGGGAGGACATCTCCAACCCCACCAAGGGCTGGGGAAGTGCCTCTGGGCGGCAGGGCCTACCTGCAGCCACCAGTGCAGACAGCAGTAGGGCTCTGATCATGGTGTGTCCGTAGGATTCCTGGACTTGGCTCGGGCCCTGGTTTTATGAGCAGTCTTATCGGCCCGAGTGCACAAGGTGGGGATTTTCTCAAAGTCCAGTGGAAAACAGGGCCTGTGTGCAAATATTTTCTTTCCCATTTTCTCCCACCTGTCACCCTGAAAATACACCCTGTAAAAGATGCCCACGAAGAATATTGAAATAGGGGTTCTACCTGTTATGTGCTGGAGTTGAGTTTTCAAAGAAAACAGCTGGCATGCTGAACAAAGAGCATTATGGGCCCGTGGTTCTCAATGGGGCTGGCACTGCCCACCAGGGAAAACTTGGCAACATCTGGAGATCGTTTTTGTTGTCATGGCTGGGATGGGGTTTTATTGGCATCTAGTGGGTAGAGACTAGAGATGCTGCTAAACATCCCACCAAGCACAGGGCAGCCCATCACAGGAATGATCTCCGTGCCAATGTCGACGGTGCCAGGGTTGATGAACCTTGTTCTAGGCCATAGCTTGCTGTGTGACCTTGGATGAGTCATGTAAACCTCTAGGTCTGGGGCCTGCCCATCTGTGAAACAGGGAGAAACAGATTGTTCAGTCTGTTTTGCAGGATTTGAAAAACACAGGGGAGCCCTGGCCGGTCTGGCTCAGCAGTTAGAGTGGCGGCCTGCGGACCGAAGGGTCATGGGTTTGATTCCCGGTCAAGGGTCTGTACCTGGGTTGCAGGTTCAATCCCTGGCCCCGGTCAGGGTAGTGCTGGAGGTAACGAATTGATGTGTCTCTCTAGCACTGATGTTCTTCTCTCTCTCTCCCTCCCTCCATTTCACTCTCTCTAAAGAATGAATGGAAAAATATCCTCGGGTCAAGATTAACAAAAAAACCCCCCAGAAACCCCCCCAGGGGACATGCTTACAGAGGAGAAGCACAGACAGATCCACACAATTGGGGTGGCAGAGAGAGTGCTGGCAGAAGAGACTTTGTTGAGATGGAGCAAGAGGTATTTTATTATCTAATCCCAAGACAGCAGCAGTTGCGCTTTTTCAATAACTTCATCTTCCAAATGGGGTCCAGCAAGAGCATCCAAAAAGGGAGACTGATACCGAACATCACATATATGTCAGATGCATCTAAGTCTTATGTAACCTGAGCCTTACAAAATCCTGCAAGAGGATCCCTGATTTCAGACGAGGAAACGGGGGTTCAGAGAGGTAAAGTGACTTGCCCAAGATCACACAGCTTCTAAGACGGAATGGGAATTCCAACTTAGATTGGTTTGATTTCAAAGCCTTCTTGCTTGATGCCGCTGGAGGTGGCATTCTGAATCTCCTAGTCCTGCAGTGAGCCCCTCGTTTTTGGCAGGGAAAGGGTGCAGAAAATCAGCAGGCTTCCCTCGCTCTTCCTTAGACCTTTCCTCTCCTTGCTTGTGGTCAGAGCACAGTGCCGGGCAGGCCAGGCTCTGGTGAGACAGCTCTGCTCTGTGACCACTGCCAGTACCCTTGGCCCCAGCCAGAAAAGCAGAGGAGAAAGGGACTTCAACTCTTCAGACCTGGGTTCAAGTCCTCACTCAGTCAGATTTGAACATCATGTCTCGGACAAGTCACTTAGCTTCTGGACCCAAGTTTCCCGGATAACAATCCAGGCCGGGCTGTCTGCTGCGGGGTAGGTGAGAATGTGGGCGCAGAGTTCTGTAATCGCGAGGCTGGGTGCAGAAGCCGTGGGAGTGGATGTCGGAACACCTGGGGTCTCGTCCCGGCTCCATCCCTCACCCCCCACAGGTGTTTGGCTCTTGTTTATAACCCGTAGCAGTCACTACAACAACACACTATTTCTGAAGTCTCCTTGTTTATCTTGAAAGTTAATGTGGATTTGGCATTCTGCTTCATGCAGCTAGCTGTGTTTGCTTTCATATAAAAATACAATTTGTCCTGGATGAGGTCACTGAACCAACATCAGTTGGCACATGCCATGGGCTTGCTGTGTGACCTTGGCTGCCCATGCCATGGGCTTGCTGTGTGACCTTGGGCAAGTCATACACACAGGTTCGGTGGCCTGGGGCTGCCCATCTCTAAAACAGAGAGAAGGACATATGCTCTGTGGAGCTGACAGTGACAGAAAACTTCATCAAGCAGGCGGAAGCCACAGGGCCGTTGATGGGGCCACATGATGGAAAAGCCCAGGAGCAGTGCTGGCCTGAGGCACAGCGGGATCCGGAGCTCTGAGGACGTCCCCAGGACTCAGCTTCTCTCCACTCTTCGGCTCTGTCTCCACTGTGAGGTCCATTCTCAGCTCCACGGAGTGGCCTCAAGCAGCGGGTTCTCCCATCCATGGGGACAGGATGACTATAGGATCTCAGACTCAGGGTTTCTCAACTGCAGCACATTTTGAGGGATGATTCTTTGTTATGGGGGTGATCCTTTGCATTGTAGGAAGCTTGGCAGCATCCCTTGGCCCCCACCCACTAGATGCCAGTAACCCTCTCCTCTGCTCTCCACCCCCAACTCATGACAACCAGAAATGTCTCCATACAGAGCCAAATACACCCTGGGAAGCAAAACCACCCCTTCTGCCCCTTCTCTCCCTCTTGCTGTTGCAGCCTCACACCTCCTCATCCTCAAACCCAGCAGGGAGTGAGAGCGCCTTCCAGGGTTCAGAAGGCCCACCACCCTCTCTGATTGGAGCTGCCTTAGGTCACATGCCCATCCCTGAGCCAATTGTTGTGGTGGGGAGGGGATGCACCATGTTGATTGGCCAGGCCTGAAGCACAAGTCCTGCCCCTAGATCTAGGCCCGAGGCTCCATCCAGACCATGTGTAGGAGTGGGGGAGGGGTGGCACAGAAACAAAAATCCAGGGTTCTAGAGACAGAACGGAGGCCAGTGGGGGAGAGAGAAAATAGGCACTATAGCCCACTTCCCCCTCTGGTGCTCCGTTCCATATTTGTGTGCTGTTGCAGGACAGCAAGGCAGCTGGGTCCTTGAGGTCTCAGTGGGGGCGGGGAGATAAAGCTGTGAATTTCTCATGCAGTTGATGACTCATTCACAGAGATCCCTCTGAGAAGCCATATGGCTCAGCGGCGACGGGCTGGAGTTTCCATCCCAGGCTTCTGCGTGCTGACTCTGGTTTGTGTCTTGCTCCCGCGAGTGGGCTGGATGGCAGCATCGCACAGCTTAGACCTCTGACTCAGGCCTGCAGGTTATGAGGAAGCAGATGGTTCTTCTGCGGGTGGAAATTTGGGAAGAACTGGACTGGGGCAAGTTCATCTCTCTTTTCTCACTTTCTTTACCTATCAAATAGAAACAACAGGCATTCCACCTACCTCTTAGGTTTATGGGTAAAATGAAACAACCGTATATTCACGTAAAACACTGATGATAGTAAATGTGCAATACAGCCTTCACTCTTAAATCCTTAGACGGCAGACCTCAGATACCAGAATAGCACAGAACAAACGTCTCCATCAAAGAAGCCTAGTCGATCAGGGGTTGGCAAACTTTCCGGAAAAGGCCCAGACAGTCAACGTTTTCGCTTGTGGGCCATATGGTTGCCACAAGTCGGCTCTACAAAAGCAGCCATCTGGGCATCGCTGGGCTCCAATAAAACTTTATTTACAAAACAGATTTGCTTTGCGGTCTCCAGTTTGCAGCAAAGCGATATCTGAGGTCTAGCACGAAGCAGTCATTGCAACAGCAAGATGTCTCCAAAGTCTCATTCTTCATCTGGGGAACTTTGGATTTTGCAGCTTCTATGGGTTTAATGGAAACTGTTTTTCTTCCCGCCCAGTGTTTATGGAAATGCGATGCTTTGGGAAGAAGCTCCGTGTGTATTCTCTGTCTTTACCTGCCCCCTGGGCCATCACCATGAGAACTTTTGCAGACATGTGCCCCAACCTCTAAGAGGGAGCTTCAGAGAGCCGGCCCCCCAAGGCCTGCTGGAAATGAGGCTCTCTCTCCTAAGGAACAACGGGACAGGGAAGATGTGCTAACAGGAGGCCAGTGGAAGCAATGACTCCTATCACAAGCTGCTGTGTTTTCATTGGCTCCCAACAAGGAAGGAGGAAAGGCAGGCACCCATTTTACAGATGAGGACATTGAGGCTCTGAGAGCTTTAGTGACTCAGCCACTGTCCCTGCCTGTCAGTGGCGGAGCTCGGCGCTCTAGCCCCGTGAGTGCCCTCCCATGGTTTATGCTGTTAATTTGTGGCTGAGATAATGTGGGTATGGCAGATGGCCAACATGGCCCTGATTCTTTACCCCTCCCTGTACCCACGCCTTTTGCCATGTAACTTTGCCGTGTCCTCCCGGGAGGACGATGACAGACACGTGGAGCTGAGACCCAGACTTGATCAGCCAACCCCCAGACCCCCAGACATATGAGGGATTCCAGCCAAGATCAGCAAGGCCACCTCGCTGGCCCCCAGCTGACCCCAGATGTGTGAGCAATAAATCCTGCCCCTGGATGCCACCGAGGCTTTGTGGTTGGTTGTTACACAGCATCATTAACCTGTGCCAGCAGTAGCCGGTACGGTGGGGGCAAGCCCTCTGTGAACATCTGTGAGCAATAATTCCCTTCTCAGGTTTCTGTCTGTCTGGGATCATTGCCAGCTTTGCTCAGGCTCGTCAGCACACCCACAGCCTCCACCCCACCCCCACGCTCTGGCAGGGCCACTAGAGGACTTAGTGGAGAGGGGGCTCCTTAAGATTTGGGATTAATGACCGAATAACAGGGTTGCTAGCCACACGGGCTCCAGTGTCAGGCTACCTAAGGTTAAATCCTGGGGCCCATCATTAGCTGTGTGATCTTGGGTGAGTTTTTAAACCTCTCTGAGCTTCAGTATCCTCATCTGTAAAGGGGATAGTGATCAGGGCTGCCCTGATTGTTGAATGAGATAGTATATGGGAAGTCCCAGGATGGTGCCTGGCACACAGATGACCTAGCGCTCAATGCGCACCAACCATGGCCACTGCATCAGACACACAGTGACATTCTAGTGGGTCACTCGCATGGGGGCTCTCA